TCTCAAATAATGACTTAGTACCTTGGTAAGAATGCAGTTATAAAAGGGGAGAATAATCAGGTGAAATGGAGGGAAGTAATCCTTAACTGGCTGTTTGAACAGAGGTAAACTTGGTTGAAAGAAGTTGACTCTTGAACAGTACAGGTTTGAACTGCATGGGTCCCTTATATACAGATTTTTTTCAATGAGTTTTGCATCAGTGGATTCATCAACTACGGACCACAGACAGTATTTTCATTCCATGGTTGGGACTCCAAGTGTGAGGAAGTCCACCTTAAATTATCCAGAGGGGTCAGCTCCCCTAATTCCTGAGTTGTTCAAGGGTCAACTGTACACATCATACTGTTTTTGAACTTAAGAATTCTTATTTCATAAAATACTGCGAATATTCTCGCTGTTCTGATTTTGTGATAATCAGGGCAGGCTAACCATTCGCTATATTAAGACCATGCATGTGTCCCCAGACCTAGTTCTTTCCCTAGTTCTGGCTTTATAAATGCTGGTGATAAAAAACTCTGATTTATATTATGCATCTTAAGTAGAAAATGTCTGACTCTATGTGATTTTGCTAAACCTCAGGAAAGGATGGCACAGCTAGTAGTGCAGTGCTAATGTCATGACTGCCAGTTCCAAATGAAGTGCGAAATCATCATTGTTTTATTTTTCAGGTGATTCTGATATCATCAGAAGCATGCCAGAACAGACTGGTGAAAAGTAAATTGTGCAAATTTTTTTCTTTAATAAAACTGGCCAGAGCTTGATTTAAGAACTGCATCCCTTTCTGTTATTTTTGCATCTTTTTGTTTCAGTACTTTCCTGAAGATTGGCTTAGACAGGGTGAGGCAGGCAGGTGTAGTGGCAAGACTTTGGGTTAAGGGACTTAAATTCCAGTTTCCTAAATGGGAATGCTGAATTCCTTTCCTGTATTGGATTTAATTCCAGTTTTAGGACATGGTTTGCATTTTATATTTGAATGTGTTTGAGAGGCAGCAAGGTTCAAAACCCAAAATTTAACAAGAATTGCAAGTTATTGTCCAGTTTAAATCTACCAAATCTAGGTAGCACAGAAAAGTAAATGAAATTATATGGATGTTCCCCCACCCCAAATTTTGCCACTGCATATTACGTGTCCCACGGAACCCTTTTCCCACATTTATTAACATCCCTTGGGGGAAAAAAATCCAGAGGAATTAATTTGGTGTGGGGAGATACTGGTTTATATACATCTTGATTGACAGAATTGAATGGTGCTGGTAGGGTATACCCTACACAGTCTGCTTAGGCTCTGAGGGAGGTTGTAAAAGTCAGAAATGACCATGTCTTTTGGACTTCAGAGTCAATCAGCTTGGTCAGGAAGGTTTTGGTGGTAGATGAATGAAGACAGGCGAGGATGCTTTCAATACATTATCTAGTAAGTAAAGTATTTGCTGAACTTGGGGTCAAAAGATGCCCTTTATAATAATTACATAACAACTATGGTTGAAGTCACATTTTCAGTTTCACAAGTAAGGAAATTGGTCCTTTTTAGGAGAACATTCCATGGTTTTAGTTTAGGTCTGAAGTTAATCTGAGTTTATTAATATAATTTGGATAACAGCTGTTACAAACTTGGTGTTTTCCTACTGGCTATTCGGTTACTCGACTCAGTTTGGGAGCACTACTGACATTTTACAAATGGAACAGTTCTTTGTTGTGGAGGGCTGTGAATACTACAGGATATTTTTCATTCCTGGTTTTCTTTCCATGTCCTAACAATTCAACACCTCCAAATGTCACCCCACAATGTAAAAAGTGGCATCTCTTGGTTAAGAGGGTCAGAATTACTGGGAAACTTGTAAATGTCCTAAAGTGCTCCTATTTGCATGTCTGAACACCAGTGTGCCCGAGGTGATTTAAAATGTTTGAAATCTGCAGACAACTGTAATTGAACAATAAAATAATTGAAAAAAAAAGTTTACTTTCAGTAATTTATTCTTGAACCAATTTGGTGATGAAGTTTGTGCACAAAAGACCCATTTGCCAAAAAGACAGAAAGTACATTGCTGGGAGATAGATTGCCTTGATAAAGTGGCAGAGATAAAACACTCCCTGAAATTGGGGTGGGGGGGGGGATTTGAAACCTTTGTCCTTGATCAGAATGACTTATCAGACTACTGTTGGTCTAATGTTAGTCTGTTTTTGCAATTCAAAATGTTTGTTTTTATTGAGCTCGGGCTGTGAACCAAAGTGTTGCAGGTTCGATTCCCAGTCAGGGCACATGCCTGGGTTGTATGCCACGGCCTCCAGCAACCCCACATTGATGTTTCTCTCTCTCCCCCACAACTTTCCTCTCTAAAAAAAATAAATAAACAAAATCTTTAAAAAATGTTTCAGTTTTTTAGTTAAGGAAATTTATGTACTTGTTTTCCACCTACTTGGTCAATTTCTCCCTTCAGATTGACCTTTCAGCTAGTTGGGTATCTGTGCCTCCAGGCTGACTATTTCCAAGGGAGGGGAGGGACAAACTGATGGGTTGCCTATTGCACACATCCCACCTGGGGACCTAACTGGGAGCCCAGGCATGTGCCCTGATTGAGACCTTTGGCTTTGCAGTGTGATGTCCAACCAACTGGGCCACACGGGTCAGGGCTCCGTGTGTTTTGTGCTCTCACTGTCATTTCAACAAGAAGTTTATAGCTTGGAGAAAAGGAATTTAAAGCAGTACACAGAAAATTCCTCATCTTGGTCCGAGGCAGTTGTGATGAAATGCCATTAAAGTGCTGCCAAAATTAAAAAGTGCCAAATCTGGGAATGTTTAATGTGATATTTTTAAATGTTCTTTTCTGATTGTAGTGAGTGTGGTGGGTTTGGCTGGAAAGCTCTGTATTACGTGGGGGACTGCAGGAAGCCCCAGCCGACTGGGTTTAATCATTGCAAGTGTAGTTAGTTGGGCTTCATGGAAGATGGTCATCTGGTTCATGGAAAACAGTTCTCTTTGATATTCTGTCTGGCAGTTCTCATTGGACTTGCTGCTCCCTCTGCAGGGGCATCTGCCTTCCTTCCACCGCCCCCTCTCAGGTCACCCCAACATCCTCTTCCCGTTTAGACTGGGTGCCTCTGACTTACCGGAGAGCCTTTTTTATGGAGTTAATCACCTCTCTCTCGTTAACCTAAGGCCCCAGAGGACAATGACTTAACGTTTTCAACTTTATCATTTATTGTGTGTGTGGCACATAATAAAACTGAAAAACCAGGATGAATAATGACTTTTAGGGCTTAAGCATTTCTCATTGATACACTTGTGGCTTTCTAGTCCAGAATTTTATCTTAATCCTGTCCATAGTAGGTCTCAAACATCTTGTATGTTAACCATTATTTAATGTACTACCTTCCACCTTTTTGCTTCAAAAGATAATTTAGGAGTGGGATGCTGCCCAAGCACTTTCCCCGGGTAAGGTAAGCAGAGAACTAATTCACTCAACATATACTTCTGTGGCACCATCTTTGTGTCACATGCTCTTGGCTGCTGAATAAAAAGAGCTAATATGGAGCCTTTAAAATGTGTTAGATTTGGCTGACTAGTGTACATGTTAACCCATTTAATCCTCTTGACAGTGCAGTGAGATAGTGTTGTTACCCCATTGGACAGTATCAAGGCTTGGAAAGGTCACAATAAAGAATGAAACGAGGGCAAAACTACACATGAAACATACAGATAGCAGAACAAGGAAAATGAAATATTTCCAACTTTAGACAATCTTCAAATTAAATATGAGTTAATCTAAAGTTGATGGGTTGGTTGGAGGCCTTGGTTTCCCTGAAGGCATTTTCCTCACCAAGTTGGAGAAGAAAGTTGAAACCTCATGAAGTGTGTATAAAGCTTAAAAAGCCAGGAGCCTGGGCAGCACAGAGCCACTAGAGGGAGCCAGGACTCAACAGAAAGGGAAGACGTGAGCCAACTGAATCTCAAAAGGTAGTGCCAACCCAAATCAGTTCTTAACTTCCTAGTGAAAATGTGTTTTCAGGATCACATGGATGACTTACATATAAGTATAAACTGGGTTTAATATTGAATCACAACTTTTAGACTTTGAAAGAATAATTTTTAGATACAATCGAGGCCTACAAGTTCCCCCCACTGTACCACACTTCCCTTTGGGAGGAAATCGTCATAGACGCTTGTCTACAAATATTTAATCATGAAGCTTATTCAAGGTATTCTGTTTGTGAGGCATCGTTTCGCCTCCAAAATCCATGGATGGGTCTCACTTGAGTGTCTTCATCTCATAACGAAGCTACTCCCTGCGGTGGTTTCTTGGTGCGCTAGAAGCCTTCACCTTTGACCCGGTCCCTGTTCCCACCTTAACTTCCCAGGGACAACTGCTGTTGTGCACATCCTTCCAGAACACGTCTTACACTTAAATGTACATATTTATGTATCTGAACAAATAGTAATGCTTGCGGCCATTTGAATTTACAGAAATAGCAGTATGCCAAACATACTTGACTGTCGGCTTTTTAAATTCAGCTCTGTTCTGGGGTTTAACCAGGTGTACGTGTAGACTTAGTGTGTTCCTCTTCAGTGCTCCATCTCATTTCTAAGGTGTGGGCTATGCCACAGTTCACGAGTCCCTCTGTGATAATTAGGGTATTTCTCATCTGTTAACTTTCGTGCACTCCAGCAGCATTCTCGTGTAGGTCTCAGCCCTGCCAGAGTGCAGCGACCGGAGTTCAGGGGTGTGCCCATTTTGTTCTGCTGGACATTGCCGTTCTCCAAAGAGACTGCCTGTTTGCATTCTCGCTCGCAACGTCCCAGAGCCCCAGGTTCCCACGTCCTTACCGACACATGTCATGGTCACACATACTCACTGTTGCCAAGTGAGGCTAAAACAACAGCTATTGTTTCCACCTGCATTTTCCTGATTACCAGGGAGAGTTGACCTTCATATGCACGTTGGCTGTATCTCACACTTACATTCCTAGCATTTAAAGTTAAACTAAGAATTTTACACAGAATACCATTCTCTGAAGTGAATTTTAATATTGTACTAAAGTATCCAACTAGTACATGTCCTATGATTTTATGCATACAGCCATATACATATATCAAGGTAAAGTCCAATACAAAAAAATAGCTTTTCCTATAGCCAGTGTTGTGCAGAAGGAAGACTGTGCAAACTGTACTTCATGGGCAAATGAAATCGCAGCGCTCTATGGCAGGACGAGGCAAAAGCAAATCATGTCCACAGTATGTCACAGAGTATCTTGCATAGCTTATTTGTTCTGACTTGGTAAACTCATTTTAAGGTTCCGAGGGATTATTTCTCTCATTGAATTTATACAAGTTAGTGTCTACTTTTTGCCTTTGTTCTATGGCAAACCAGCTTTTGTAGTACTTTACAACCTTACAGAACTGACTGTAGCCTGAGCTTTGGGGCTCAGAACTGCGTTCATTGTGATCCTTGACACAATGACATGCAAACACAGACCATTTCCAGTTTTCATCTGTATCTCAGGCGATTTTCCAGGGCTTCCATTCTCTGTGTCATTTCTTCTAGTAAATCTCAAATTAAGGAAGAGGAATCTGAATCACCTATTTTTATTTACACTAAAATATAACAATTTACCTAAATAAAAATTTGTCCTAAAAAAAATAAGGCTTTTTGTTCCATTTCTGCTAGGTATTTTAAAACCCTGACTTGTAAGCTCATAGTGGCTTTAACAAATGCTACCAAGACTATAAATCTCTTTTGGGGATAAAACATCAAAGTGGTATAGCTTGGCTCAAATTCTTTTTAATTCTAATCACACCTCTGTTGCTTATAAATTAGCCGGCCATAGCATGCCTCCATGAGCCAGAATTGATAATGTCAGTAATGTGAAGAGGAAAGAAACAAGGACTAAGCCTTGTTTCTAGGACAGTGAGCTAGGACATCCGGGAAGAGGGGGCGTTTTCACTCGTGGTGCCAGATACTGGCCAAAGCGTAGCAACCTTGAAGACGGCTGACCTGTGCTCTGTTATGCATGACTTCCTCAGTCGCTTGTGAGGTGGACCCTCAGAGTTGAGGTGGGGGAAGGAAGAGAAGAGGCCCGTTTGAATAAGCATTTATTTGTCTTCCTCCCCATCAACTCCTTAGTGCCTTCTACCCGCCCCACTGGGGGCAAAATGTGAGCCCAGATTCACCACCTGCATCAATCCCTGTCGATTATTTTTCTTGGGGGACCGTATTTTCAGTTTTCAGAAAGGGAATTTCTATATGCTGTTCCTTATTATATAAACCCACTGGCACAGAGATGGTTCCGAATTAAACCACTTCCCTACTGACTAGTTGGTGCATGTTGAGATAAATATCAGCCAGCTTTAGTAAACTGACTAGTTTTAAGTCCAGAGCAGTTGGCAGGCTGTTCACTGTATAAAAACACTAAATCCTCATTTCTCTATTATCTTAAAGCATTCCTTTTATTTGTAATATTGTTATAATGAATCATTGGATCCTGCTGTATGTACCCTTGGTGGAATGTTTCATCTTAGAGTGCTGATATAAAAGATCTTTGCTGCCAAAAACAAAAAACAAAACCCACAACCCAACCCAGTCCTCGAGAAACTAAACAGTGTCCAAAAGTGGCTACAGTGGGGGTTAGGGCCAAAGAAAAGGACTGCAGTTGAGATGGGGTTTGAAACCTCATTCTGACAGGGGTGTCTAACCTTCTGGCATCTCTGGGCCACCATGGAAGAAGAAGAGTTGTCTTGGCCCACACATGAAATACATTGTGACACAAAATCACAGAAAAAAACTCAATGTTTTAAATAAATTTATCATTTTGTGTTGGGCTGCATTCATAGCCATCCTGAGCCACGTGCGGCCTGTGGGCTGCAGGTTGGACACCCCTACCTCTTTGGTCCTAACCTTTGCTATATTTCAGATCAGTCCATATCCTCCATTTTCTCCTAGCAAGGAGGGAGTTAATTGAATACATCTGTTTTTTCATGTGCATGCTGACTGGCCTTACTGCTAAACCTTCCAGAACAGCAACTAGCAACTAAAGGCTTGACCCTTGCCACTAAGCTTGCTTGCCCTTGGCTCTCAAACACCTAACAGTTTTCTTAAGAAAAAAAGCCTTTCCTGGAGTTCACTGTTCTTGACTTTATGGATCTACTTCATTTGGCCCATACCCACATATAGTATTTGTGACGTTTTGATAACATTCTTTGCATTCCATACAGAGGCAAAATATAAGAAAAGGATATAGCGTTGTGTTAATTTTCTTACTTCTTCATTTGCAAGATTCTGGACCATAATAAGGTTTTCACATTTGCATTGATCATGTTTTTCTTCCAAAGGATTTCCTGAGAAAGCAGATGGAAACTGTTCACCTCTGTAAACCCACCAGACTTCCCGGGTGCATAACAATAGGACTGAATCAGCATATGCAGGAAACCATAATGAGAGAAATGTTCGACTTTCCCCACACAGCCTGATCCAGTAAATCCCAGGAAGGGGCATCCAGCACTGAAGGGGCCTTTGTTGTGGGTTCGGGGAAGACCAAGTCAGTTTGTTTTAGTTTTTTAGTTCTCATTTTCCTTCAGTTATTCTCTTTCCCCATCCTATTTCCTATTTCCTCTTTTCCTCTTCTTTTAAACTGAGTTTGTTGGTAAGTGGAAGGGCTGGTATCAAGTTAACCTACAGTAGTATTTTACTGGGAATTACCTGAAGATTTTGTGGAATGGGACAGCTTTTGTGTAGACCGTGAAAGACTGTCTCCTTCAAACAGGTATCTGTGTTGCACTGCAAAATTAGAACAGGAAAGTAGGTCTTGGATACTTATGGTGAGTGGCTCAGATTCTGTAAAGAGAAAGAAAAATGAAGTCAAACCTGCCTAACACGACTGTGGTATAAAAAAGCTCAGATGTCAGAGTAAAACCCTTGGCATTCCCAGCATGCGGTATGTAGTGTTAGGATACACTGCGGCAATGAGACTTGGCAGAGAAGCTATTACCAAACATGGCTAAGGTGTGGAGTAACTGCATCCTATCTGATTGAGAGGGAAAAAGCCACAGTTAGCATAATTCAAATCTTACTTTCATTTCATTTTAAAATCATGTTTAGTTTTTAATTACTACAGTTCACATGCATTATTATAATAGTTCCAGGTGTACACCCCAGTGATTGGGCATTATACAACTTACTAAGTGATCATCCCAATAAATCTCATACCCATCTGACACCACACATAGTTATTAGAATATTACTGACTGTATTCCCTATCTGTACTTTACATCCCCATGACTATTCTGTAACAACCAATTTGGACTTCTTAATCCCTTCACCTTTTTCACCTGCCCCCCCAACCTCCTCCCATCTGGTAACTGTCAAAATGTTCTTTGTAAGTCTGTTTCTGTTCTGCCTGTTTTTGTTTTTTATATTCAATTGTTGATAGGTATATATTTCTTATTTTATTGTTACTATTTTTTACCATTTTTTCTTCTTATTTTTTAAATATTTTACTTATTTATTTTCAGAGAGAGGGTATTTAAGGGAGTCAGAAAGAATGGGAGAGAAACATTACTCCATTGCCTCGTGCACACCCCCAGCTAGAGACCTGGCCTGAAACCCAGGCACGTACCCTGACAGGGAATTGAACCAGCAACATTTTGGTTCATAGGCCGGTGCTCAATCCACTGAGCTACACCAACTAGGGCACATTTTTTCTTCTTTTTAAAGATGACCCTCTCACATTTTACATAATACTGCTTTGGTGGTGATAAACTCCTTTAGCTTTTTCCTGTCTGGGAAGGTCTTAGTCTGTCCTTGGATTCTAAATGATTGCTGGGTAGAATTATCTTGGTTGTAGGTACTTGCTTTTCATCACATTGAATATTTCTTGCCAGTCCCCCCTGGACTGCCAAGTTTCTGTTGAGGAGTCAGCTGACAATTTTATGGGAGCAACCTTGTAGGTAACTAACTTCTTTTCTCTTAACGCTTCTAAGATTCTCTCTTTGTCTATAACCTTTGGCGCAACATCTTTGGGTTCATCTTTGTGATTCTCTGTGCTTCCTAGGCTTGCATGTCTATTTCCTTCTCCAGGTTAGGGAAGTTTTCTGTCATTATTTTTTCAAATACGTTTTCAGTTTTCTGCTCTTAATTCTTTGGATTCTTTTTTCTTTTGCTCTTCTGACTGGGTGGTTTTGTTTTGCTTGTTTGTCTTTGCTTCCCTATACTCCAAATGACTGATTTGATTCTCAACTTTATCTAGTCTACTGTTGATTCCCTGTAAATTATTCTTCATTTCAGTTAGTGTATACTTCAATTCTGACTGGTCCTCTTTCATGCACTGAAATTCTCACTAAGTTCACTGAGCATCCTTATAACCAGTGTTTTGAACTTTGCATCTAGTAGATTGCTTGTCTATTTTGTTTAGTTATTTTTCTGGAGTTTTGTTATGTTCTTTTAGGACATGTTTCTTCATCTTTTCATTTTGGCAGCCTCCCTGTGTTTGTTTCTATGCATTAGGTGGAGCTGCTACGTCTCCCGGCCTTGGTAGAGTGACCGAATGTAGTAGTTGTCCTTAGGATCCAACGGCACAGCCTCCCAGATCGACAAGGCTGGGTGGGCACTTGAGGTGAGACCCCCCATGTGGGCTGTGGACATCCTCCTGTTGTACTTGAGTCTTGATTGTTGTTGGTACGTTGGTGGGAGGGATTTATTGCCAGACCAATCAACTGCAAGGAGTGGCTCTGACCACTGACCACTGACCTCCAACCACCGTGGAGGATCAGCTGTGCAGGGACCCAACCCACAGAGCAGGACCTACTTCAGCAGGGCTCATACTTCTCTTTCAGTCCTTTACAACTTTTGTCTAGGGAGCAAACACGGAGGAAGTATCCACCAAAGTTTCCAAAAACACTGCTTTTAAAAATTTACCTGTTGGCTGGTGAACCCTCTTTGGCAGTTCCCCAGCTGGGGAGTCCTGACTTCCATCAGAGTCTTCCAAAGCTGAGAAGAGAAAGACCAAAAGCAGTGACAGTTGTCTGCATGCACACGTGTGTTCTTTAGGAAATGGGTCCCAGACCAACTCCTCACCTACCTGCCCTAACCCAGGGTATTTCGGTATCATTTGGTAACACCACAAATTCAAAAAGAAATCAGTCACCAGGTTAATCCAAGACGACTCTAGGGTGGTTTTCTCCAGTGAGGGAAGCCTGGACCCTTTAAGTGCATCTTAGTTAAGAATGCCCCCCAAATATCATATCTAGAAGGTGAGGTGGGAAAAAAAGTTAAAGTTGTCCAAGGATTAAGTTGCGGAGGCAAAAGCTCCACTTGTTTCAACCTGAATGAAACAGCCTTGAGGCAAAACATTATCTTCTCACAGTAGAAATCTGAAAGGCCTTCCCTCCCTGGTCTCCCTTCCTCACGTGGTTTTTCCCTTTAGAGAAGTAAGATGTGTCACTTAGACTGGGGTTTCAGCAGCGACTGAACCTGGGGTGGGAGTAAAAGGGAAACTGGGCAGGACCACTGTGCGCCAGCATGCCTCACGGAGGGCACAGCAACTGGAGGAAGGCGCGGAGAGCTCTCGTCCACAACAAAATCTGAATTCTAAAGGACAGTCTCGTGCTCTGTACGCGGACGTGGTCCATGCAGAAAGATATCCTTCGATTTTAAACAGTGGGCTTGGACGGACTACCATCACTTTCCACTCCAGTTACAGGGGTGCATCCTGAAATCATGCATCAGCTCCCCGATTTATGTGATATTTGTTTCTTAGATGACCATCTCTAAAGGCTTTTTCTTTTTTCTTTTTTTGGTTCAGGATTAAGTATGCCAGTGTGTCAAAACACTTATCACATTGCTCAGCACAAAGCAAGCACCAAGCAATGTCGTTTGTCAGTTTTGCCTCCTCTCTCCCCTCTTCCACTTTCTGTGCTTCCTGTGCTTACTGGCCCTGCCCACCAGGGAGGTGCTTTTCGGAGCACTCTGAAGGAAGGGGTCGAGAATTTCCCATTCAAGGGTCCGTGCTGCCCTGTTTGCTAAGAGTTCTCCTAGACACAAGCTGCAGTACCTTCACAGATGCCTTTCTTCAGTTTGTCACTTATCTCGCCCATTGTGCTGAAGTCTTCAGCATAGAAGAGATGCTTGTTGGTGGGTTTCGAGGCGATCTCTTGCAGTTCTTCCTCAATGGCTTTCCCTACCCCAACGGCGTACATAGTTACACCTAAGGCACAGAGCAAAACAAGAACGGGTCGTTAGGGCTGTGTTCCCACGGCCTGGGAGTCGCGTGCACTGCACCCAACGCCGGCTACAGGTTGAGTGGGGTGATTTCTGTGTCGACCTCCCTTTATTTTCTCACCATTTTTATTTTGGTGCTGTGAGCAGAAGACAGGGATCCAAAAGGGGAAGGTGAGGCATCTAGGTGAGGTTGGGCAGCTGGACCGCCAACCTGTTGCTCAGCTCTGGGCAAGGTTAGTTAACAAGTCCTAACTTTTCTTAGAACTAGCCCCGTGGATCAAGTGGAAAAGAGCACTGCCTTACAGCTTACTGAACGGGAATCTCTTCTGGGGTAGGTCTAAGAAGCAGGCATTTTATGACCTTATAACCTAGTTTCGCCTTCTCAAAGGTACAGGTGGGAATGGTAAGTGACCTGGGGCAACACGAAGTAGCACTCTGCCCGCCCCCACCCGCCTGGGGAAGACAAAGCCTTGTGAGGAGGTGCTAAGCTAAAAGGGAGAACTTGTGGACCCTTGGAAATCCCCAAAGTCAGAAACCACAACAAACCCGAGAATCAACGTCAGATACCAAGACATAAGAGATTGCTCCAAAAGCATCTCTGAACAGTATTAACCCTGAGACTCCCTTCCCCGTGTATTCTTTATTCGAGAGTAAGACACGAAGACCTGAAGTTGTGCTTGATGGCCAACGTTTTTTCAGCATGGATATCTTACTCTGGCTAATTCATTAGACTACATTTTTAAGAAAAATACACATAAAAATGGCTCTTTATGCCAGGGGGCAAGAGTTATTCCTTGTTCTAAGTCTGCATAAGGTCAACAGCCAAGTTCAGCATATTTGTCTGGGAGCCCAGTGAGTTTATGTGCAACTTCCTAAAAAGGGCAATTACTGTTTTAAGGTTGTGTTAGCTATGCATAGGAATAATTACATTCATTAGAGGATATCGCTTCAGATATATTTGTTGGTTCAACAACCAAACAAACGTGTTTCTCCTTCCACCTGCTTTTGGGTGATTTGTGGGAAAGTGAGTTGTGGGGAAAGGAAGGTAGATCGATTTCAGTGTGACACATACAAAGGTTGCCCGCTGCCTTTCGGGAAGATGCTTTCCCAGCATTTTAAGAACGCAGGCTCTAGGACCCGTGGGTTTGGCAGGCGCCTTCACTCACAGGCTAGTCTAGCTGCAGAGGAACTGAGAGCGAGCAGCCACCCGGATGACCGGCAGGACGCTTGTCTGTGGCTGCTATTCTGTGGCCTCAGAAAAAGTCGTGAACAGTGAGGGAAGCAATAACAACCACACGGCCTCCTCCACAAAGGCCGACTGAGAGGGATGGGTTCCCCAGCAGGATTGCTAGCACTTCCACCCCTTTGTTCGTTCACTCGGCCAGTGTTAGTCACACAGGTCCTGCGTGCCAGGCCTAGGCACTGGGTCCATGACGTCCCCCATGAAGCCCCAGTGTGCACACACCCTTTCCTGCCTCACAGGACCTGCTGAGGCTGTGTGTCCTCCACAGGTTCTTAAAGACCGTGGCTGTTAAGGAAGCTGCTTCACAGCCTCAAGTTTTCTTGTCTCCGCAAAGAAGCCCCTTTGCCTTAAGCTGTCTCTACCAACCATCCTAGCTTTTGCTTTTCCATTTCCAGGGGCTACACTTTACATCTACCCACAACTAAAGTAACCTCCAGTCCTCCTGCAGTACAGGTGGGGTCAGAAACCCCTGAGAGCAGAGGCTGGATTCTATTGAGCAATGAGAGCTTCGAGTCACAACCTCCTGCAACACTTTGATTTTCTCAAAAGCTACCTTTTGCCTCTTGCAAACACAAGAGTATTTGCTCTCTTGAGGCTTTTATGCTTTTAGTGTTCACTTGCACTATTGATTTAAAAAAAGGTATCTGTAAAAATTCCTCCCACCAGGATCTATTTTCACCGGCGTCAGAGGACTGTTGTGTACTCACCTGTGGTTACACAGCACTTACATGACTGATTCTCTCCACTGGAGGCCACAACCTGGATAGTCACGTGCAGTAGATGGTTGCTCAGGCGTGGTCTGGGTCTAGACTAATCTCCCAATCTGCAATTTTTGCATCTGGCCCATCCCTTAACTCCCTTTCAGGCCTCTAGATGGCACTCTAGTAAAGGTGTACAGCAGCAGTTGATGGAGCCTTTCTGTACTGTAGGCTCAAAGACTCATTTCTGGGGCCAGCTGTGACCACCCAGTGGGTTTAAGAAACCTGAACCCCGAGTAGTGTAAACCCCACCCCCAGCCCACTTTACCATTGGCCTTGGCTTTGCTGGCCCACTCGGAGACGTCGTCCTGGGCCCGACCGTCTGTGAACACGATGGCCACGCGGGGCACCCGTGCAGAGAGAGGCCTGGCCCCTTCGACTTGGGTGAAGCTTCTCTCAAACATGTGCTTCAGGGCCAGCCCCGTCATGGAGCCCTTGCCCATGTATTTCATGTGGGCCACGGCCTTTTTCATGTCCTTGGCCGAGCTGAAGTCCCTCAGGGTGAACTCTGTGCGGACCTGCGTGGAATACTGGAGCAGCCCCACTCGAGCGGCTTTGGGGGAGATCGCCAAGGAATCTATAATTCCGGTGACAAACTGCTTCACAATCTCAAAATTATCTTCTCCAAGGCTCTTGGATCCATCGATCACAAAGACCAGGTCAATTGGGCCTTCAGAGCATCCTGTGAGAATGAAAGGGAAGTGGGCACAGGTAACTGATGTTAAAAGATCGTTACACCCAAGAATAGGAGAAAGCTATGCTTCAGTTGGAGGCATAACCTCTGTGGAGAACTGCCTGTGTTCTTTAGCTAACACACAGACGAGCGTGTCGGGAGAGACACACGGCAGAGGTACAAACTGCCGAGGGTCCGGGTCCAAGCTGCACCCTGGGTCCCTGACAGCGGGTCTGGGAGGGACTGTGTGTGAAGTGCACCAAAGAGTCTGACAGCACCCAGCATATTCCTGCAACTTCACTCTAGCCCCCAGTGCTGCCATTCTGACAGAGAACGAGAAGGAAATTTTTTTGTTTGTTTGTTTATGGAGCTTTATGCATATTTTTTATTGAATTTATCGGGATGACATTGGTTAATAAAACCATAAAGCTTTCAAGTGTACAACTCTGTAACACATCTTCTACACACTGCATTGTGTGCTCACCACCCAAAGTCAAGTCTCCTCCTACCGCCCTTTGTCCACTTTTGCCCCTTGCCAACTCCCCCCACCCCTTCCCCTCTGGCAGTCGCCGTACCATTGTCCGTATCTGTGTGATTTCTTTTCCTTCTTCTCAATCCCTTCACCTTCTTTATGTAGTCCCCCAACCTCCCTCTCCTCTGACAGGTGTCAGGCTGGTCTCTGTTGATAAGATTTTGTTTCTGTTTTGTTAGTTAGTTTATTTTGTTCATTAGAGTCCACATATAAGTGAGATCATGTGCTATTTGTCTTTCTCTGACTGGCTTATTTTCACTTGGCATAATATTCTCCAGGTCTGTCCATGGAGAATGGATAGACTGTTGCATGGATAGACCTTCCTTTTCATGACCAAGTAAGAGTTCCCTCCTTTTCATGACCAAGTAATATTCCATTGTGTAAATATACCATAATTTTTTTTATCCACTTATTTATTGATGGGCACTTGGGCTGTTTCCAGATCTCGGTTATTGTAAATAATGCTGCTATGAATACAGAGGTGCTTATATTTTTTTGAATTAGTGTTTCAGGTTGGAGAAGAAAATTCTTAAAATTCATCCCAGCTATCACCTTTTGCGGAGAGCTTTCCTAGAAAACCAGCTTGTATTAGGTGCCCTGTGTGTACCCCTCACACTACTAACTTACCCAACCAAACTTTGCTTATTGAGCATCTGCCTCATGCAGGGCAGCAGGCACAGCAGGATGCAATAGTGACCCAGACAAAATTCCGACACCAAGTTGCTTATCATCCAGTGTACTCTACACACCCTGCAATAGCTGACTATGGGTGGGTCTCCTCCTCTAGTCTGCCAGTTCCTCCACATCAGGGGCCATATCTCATTCACTTCTGTACCCGCCCCCAGAACCTGGCACATAATAGGTGTTCAATAAATGCTTGTTGACAGAATAAAGGAAGTGGTGCCCATTGGGTAGCACACCTACCTGTAAGTACCCTACTGACCTATTACAATGTAAACATGAATTATCACTGGGAATTCTTTCTCTACATAAAAGCTTTCCAGGCAGCTCAGATGGTTGACAGTAAGAGCTTTATGCAAATACTTAAGCAATCTGGGTGTGGAGAGATTTTTTGTTACTTAGGGCTACATAAGACATTTACACATCCCAAATGGATGACCTCATAACATTCTCTCTTATATATCAAGAAGCTGTCTAATCTTTGAAAGTGAAGCACAACAATATAAGCAAGTAAAGGCACACACACACAAAAATATTTCTATGCCTGGCCTAAATAACATACTAATGGGTATATGTGTGTGCATGTGTGTATCAGAGGGTTGGGCTCCTCTCTTTCTCCATTAAATACTTGTCCTCATTACTCAACTTACTGATTCTTTATCAGTGAAAGAAGAAAAGGCCAGTTCAGAGTTCCATTTACATTCACAGTCTGTTCCTGAACCAACCAAAAAACAACAAAGACAACAGTCAGGCAAAGTGCATGTGGATCTCTAGCAGATTTCAGAAATACTGGAATAATTATATCTGTGAGTCTGAGTTTTCCTCTCCTTCATACACTCTTTTTGTGCAGAACAGAACCAGGCCATGAAGGCTCCACGCACAGAGGGGCACGCAGGCTCCTCAGGAAACAAGGATGCTAGGTGGAGTGCAAGGACATCGGGACAAGGGGGCCAGACTTCTGCTTTCCCACCCTGGAGCAATGAAGCCCCACCTGCTGGCTACCTCTTTGCAGGAGGGTCACTCCAGCTTTCCTTGGGCATTTTCTTTTTGGCAGTCAAGTCGATTGATTGACTTTCAGGACTTAATCTTCTCGGAGTTCCAGAATTTCAGGGTTGAATAAGACCTTTAAAGTTCGTGTAGTGCAGTGCCCCCTGTTGCTGACATCTGTACAACATCCCCGCCCAGCTGCCTGAACACCTCTCCTGACGAGGAGCACCTCACCTCGCCTCGCCTCGCCTCGCCCCCGGAGCCCCATCTTTGGACAGCTCTGCCATTGACGATGACAACGGATGTCATTTGTCAAGCACTTAGAATGTGCCAGCACTAGGCGGGCTGAGCACCTTTAAATATGTCATCTTATTTATTTCTCATGTTATAGATGAAAAAACTGAGACTCAGAGAATTTAAATACAGAATCTGCTGAAGTTCACACAAGTGTACGAATGGGGGTTTAAACCCAGATCTGTCTGACACAAAGCTCATGATCTTAGCAAGTCCATCACAAGGCTTCCCAGAGAGAGAATCTCTTTGTCCTCCACCTGCGCTGTACAGCAGCCCCTCGACAGTCTCCTTCCCTTCCCTGGGGCGGCCGGGGGGGGGGGGGGGACGCGTCTCGAGGTGACAGTCACTTTGGTAAGTGAATGGTATCTCAAGTCTTCTTTTCTAGAAAGACCCCAGTTTCTTCCTTTATTTTTCACTTAACATCATGCTGAACTTCCTCACCATGGTGCTTTCTACATTTTTTTCTCTAGGCCTTTTCTTAATTTTTTTTCTGTAAAATAATACAGGCATATGGAACAAAATTCAATCATTATAAAAGAGTGTATGTGTCTGTGTATCTGTTGCTCTATGTATATGTGTGTGTATGTGTGTGTATATAGATATAGATATATATATATAAAATATATATTATAGGGAGCCTCTTCCAAAATATATCAATAGTAATATACTATAAAAACCATTCAGAGCCATTTTTTTCACCCAAAAAATCTTGAGGATATTTTGGGTGAAAAAAGTATCTGGAGGATGTCTACAGCTGCTTCACTCTTTCAAACAGCTGTGTAGTGTTCCGCTGTACAGTCGTACCACACTTGACCTAATCAGTCTCTTATGGATAGAGATTTACCTTGTTCCCAGTTTTTTGCTGATACAAATAAAATTGCACAAAATGTTCTTTTATATATATATAGTTTCAGGAATACATGCACACATTGGTAGGATAAACTCCTACAAGTTGAATTGCCTTAAAAATATTAACAGAATTTCCCTTCTCAATGTTCTACTGATTCCGACACTTAATGATAAACTTCCAGTTACCTATTATCGTACACCTTTGCCAACATAAAGGATCATCAGCTTTTTGATCTCTGTAACTGATAGGTTAAAAAAAGGTATCATAGCTTTAATCTCTTACTATACATTTTCCTTTTTTTGTTTCTATGTCTTTTATGTTTCATGTCGTGTTTAGAAAGGCCTTCTCTAATCTGAGCTTATAAAATAGTTATCTCAATTTTTTCCCCTGCTGCCTTAGCAGTTTTATTTTTGCAGGATTAAAGCTCTGCTCCATCCCCCTCTTCCTGAAGTGCAGGGCCCAGGGCTGAACGAGACTCTCCAGCACAGGGCGCAGCACAGGTCTCAAAAGATTTCCCATGAGTTCCGAGTTCCGCTCCCTTCCCCCCTCTCTGTTCGTGCACACGCATTTATATTCACGAGAGAAGCATGGGTGGGGAATTTGTTTCCGGAAAGGAGTCCAAAAAGCGGTTACTCCCAAACCCAATTAAAGCAGAAAGCCAAGTTCAGATCACTTACTCTTGCACCGTCTTCCATCCTCCGCTAGGACAAATCCCTCCGAGCATTTGCAGATGTAGGAATCACCGCGGTTAACGCACATGTGTTCGCAGCCATGGTGGGCCGATTTGCAGGCATCCTTCCCTGAGGAAAATGCGGAGCGAGCGGGGGTCAGTGCGGAAACCAGCTGGACTGGGCGGTCGTGTCAGGAGAGACCGCGGAAGCGATCCGTTTTGTAGAAATCCATCTGTGTTCCAACCTCATTTTAAACCGCCCCCTTTCAGTCTAGTCCTTAGGTGAGGGCACGGTGAGGAGTGTTGGGAAATCCCCAACACTCCTGTTTTAATGAACATGTCTCATGTGTGAAGTACATGTAGTGATAGCCCTTTAATCTTTACAGCACCCTGTGATAAGGGGAAGGCAGGACTAATTATACTGAACTTACAAGTGAAAAAACTCAGAAAGTTTCACGGAGTTGCCCAGAGTTGCAGCAAGTTGCTAGCAGATGAGGCATGTCCTCTCCTGAGTACTCCTCCTCCACCGAGTGAAAGCCTATGGTTCTTTTCTCGCATTAGCTCCCTAAAAGGCGGAGCTTCCTACAACATTGCAATCAGTGTGCTACAGACCCTTCTAGAAAGTGGGAATTTGAAAGTGGAGGGATTTGACTTAGCGATTAAATCCCAGGGGTAGAAGTGGTACCTATTAAGCAACAAACGTGTTGGATGGATAAATGGTGCGTGTTGGTACGCTTGCATGTATGGAAACAGAAAAGGAAGCATGAACAGGTGGCTCGGGCAGGCGTAATGGCAGCATGGTAGACAGGGTCTCCGCAGAAGGGGCATTGCTGTGTGAAGGTAAAACACAGGATCGTGCAGGGAGCCCTGCAGGGTGAGGCCAGGGTCCCACAGGCTTCCAGGAGTCAGCTGTTCCTGCTAAAGGTAGGAGCCCTTCTTCCCGGTGGACAACGAGAGCAGTGAGTTCACTCTAACCCAGCTTTGCTGATACATGGAGTGGCCCCAGTTATCTCAAAGGAGCCTGGAAGGAAATTCCCCCAAGTCAACCTCAAGGCCAACGAGTTCATTTTGCCTTAACTAAAACAGGGCCACTCTGCTCACGGGACTCTAGTACCACAAGAGCAGGATGATAGTGCCGAACCCCCCAAAATAGGGATTGACAGCTCAGGATCTCTCAGTGGAGAAAAGAGCTTGCCCTGTGCTCTACCGACGCCCACCTCTCTGAGCTAGTGTGTCTCTGCCTCTAACTTTGGGTGCTGTGATGGTTAAGTTTATGTGCTACGGTGCCCAGTTGTTGGGTCAAACAGCAGTCGAGATGTTGCCATGAGGGTATTTTTCAGACGACATTAACACTGGAATCAGTATACTCTGAGCAAAGCAGAGTATCTTCCACAATGCGGGTGGACGTCACCTAAGCAGTGGAAGGCTCTAAGTAAAAAAGACTGAGGTTCCTCCGAAGAAGACGGAATTCTGCCAGCAGACTGCCTTTGGATGAGAGCTGCAACATCAGCTCTTCCGTGCATGTCAAGGCTGCTGGCCTGCCTGCAGATGTCAGACTTGCCGAGCCCCCATAGTCATGTTCTGTCTGTCCATCCATCTGTCACACATATACATCTGTATAGATGTATACTGCATATGTGTATATACATGTGCACACACCCATGCATCGTATCAGTGCTGTTTCTCTGGAGAACCCTGACTAATATGCCTTCTAAGCACACTGTCAGAGTCTGATCTGCATGCTGTATAGAAGCGAATGACGGTGTGGGTAAGTAAAACCCACAGAAGACCCCTTCAGCGCCTCTCACATCCTCTACACTTACTTATAAGAGCTTCCAAGAAGCTAAAGCCCTGTAATTATCCTCTCATGCCCACAGCGATTGCCCGCAGAGATTCTAATTCAGCCCCATGGTCAGCGGGGCACTGTCCACACAACCCTTGTGGAGAGGGCCAGCAGCTGGAGGGAAATGAAAAGAAGCAAAGAGCCTGACAACTCAGGACCTTGACCTAGAGATTCCTAACAACTAAAGGAGACACTTCAGAGCGCCCAAGGCAGGAACTTGTCATTGTGACATTGACCGCAATGGAAGATTTTAAAGATTAAATGGAGTTATATAACCAAGGCCCACAGATGGACAAGTGCATCTCTAGCGGGACGTCACTTACTTCTGCAATGTCTCCCGTCCTCAGCGAGCCGGAAGCCCTCCAAGCACTTGCAGACATACGACTCGCCGCTGTTCACACAGATGTGCTCACAGCCATGGTCCACTGCTTGGCAGACATCTTGCCCTGGGGGCAGCAGAGCAAGTTAAAACATTTCATTAACATAAAGTTTCCCCGGGCTTCATCAGCCTCCCAGGACCCATTCATGTCGGCCCCCTGGAACGCAGAGCCCTTTGAGCACAGTGACCAGTGGGGAAGATGGTGAAATTGAGGCCTCGGGTCAGTGGCTCTAATTCGGGCTAACTCTCCAAAATCTCCTCACCACCATCCCCGTCCCCATTCACTAGCATCTAATTCAGTGTCTCATAAAAATGCCATCCACCACCAGCTTTCTGCAGATGTAGTTTCTGATATCAGAAGGGAGACATTTTTGGTGTGATTGCTTAGAAAATTAAACCTCAATTTAGATTAGCAGCACTGAAAACCGATTTTGGCTCTGTCCCTGACACATTATGTGACTTGGGAGAATTACCTGACCCTTTGAAACCTTACCTTTCCTGCCTGAATAATGAGAGTAATAATCCCAGTTACCCATCTCTGCAAACACGAGTTGCCCTTTGGAAAGTGCTTTGAGAAGCTTGGGGGAAAAGTGACTGATAGGGATGGAAATCACTTGCTTGGGGTCACGTACGCCCCTTTGATTATGCGGAGATGTGTCTGGTCCCATCTAAGAGGTTTTGCTTTCTGAGATATAAGAACGGGCTCATCACACGATGGTCTCTAGGAGGGATTTGTGCTCCCAGGAACAACAATATTATTATAAATAAAGAAGCAAAGGCTCAGAGAAGTTAAGCAACTTGCCCAGCTAATAAATGGCAGAAATGGAAGTTGATTGAATCTTGGGTTTCCACTAGCCCATGCTACTAAACCACTGCTTCTTGTCACAGGGCATAAATGAGCAACTTCAGCTGTAGCTCCGGCAGTGACTTCTTGCATTTGTGCATTCATTTGCTTTATTTTTAATGGACTTTATTGTTTAGAACAGTATTAGATTCAAAGAAAAACTAAAAAGATAGCACAGAGAGTTCCCAGAAACCCCACACCCAGTTTCCCCTATAATATCTTCCATTAGTGTAATACATGTTGTAATTAATGGGCCAATATTGATATCAACTAATATCAACCAAAGCCCACAGCTTGTTTGCATTTCCTTAATTTTTACCTACTGGCATTTTTCTCACCCAGGATCCCATCCAGAATTGCACATTGCATGTGGTGGTCACGTGGCACTGAATTTGGGAGCAGCCGACTTACACAGAGACGGGGACGGAGGATTTCATGCACAGGACAGGCTCACTGATGTGAGCCAGCGCCAGTAAAAACTCACTTCTGCAGGTTTTCCCATCTTCACGGAGTATGTACCCTTCAAAGCACCGGCACACAAAGGTGTCTTCACTGCTTACACACGAGTGCTCACAGCCATGCTCCCCCAAGGCACACGCGTCCAATTCTGAGAACCCAAGTGGAATGAGAGAAACAAGAAGGAAATGACTCAGACATCCGTGACTTATTCAATCTTAAATGACATTTCAGACACCCTAAATTAAAACAGTATCTAATTCCATAGTGCACATTTCAAAATAGAAATCACATCTATAAGCAGAAATTCTTAATATATAAAGAGCACATAAATTAAATGGTATCATCGTCTTCATAGGAAAAATGAACAAAAGACCTGAAAGGACAGTTTACAAAAGGAGAGATCCAAGTGGCCTGTAAATATTAGAAAATAAGTTTAACTTCATTGGCTATCATATAATGTGGATAACTTATCTACATATCCACTTAGCTATGCATGCATGCACCACTCTTAGGTAGTCCATTCATTTAGTTAACGATATTTCATAAGTCCCTGCTCTACAAGTCAGGCACTCTTCTAGGCACTGGAGATACAACAATGAATAAAACAAAGTTTCTCCTCTGTGAAGCTCACACTTGGCAGCAGGGGTGGGAGGGAAGAGCGGGGAGGACAACAGATAGACAAATATACGTCAGGTGGGGAAAGGTGCTTTGGAGAAAAAGCAGGCTAAGGGGGAGAGGGCGTGCCTGCTGAGTTGGAGCATGGGGGGCCCTTGTCGATTTATGCCCTGCAGTCAGAAAGGGCAGCACTGAGCAGAGCCCTGAAGGAGGAGATGAGTGAGTGCAGGGTGTCTGGGAAAGAACAGCACCCCCGAGAAAGAATCTGCCAACTGCAGCAAGGGTGGGAGCATGCTTGGCAAGTTTTGGGAAAGGCAAAGAGACCAGTGTGACCCAGGCAACAGGAGCCTGGCAGGGAATGATCAGACGCGGATCACAGGGGATTCGCAGGAAGTGGTTGGAGCTGGATGAGAACAGGTCCGGGTCCGTGTGGAGGTAGAGGGGGGCAGTGCAGTGGGGCAGGGAGCACTAGCTTGACAGAATCTCATCTGACTCCATTTTAAAGGGACTGCCGTGCACAGACTGGGGCCTAGGTGAGGGTGCCGCACAGGAGCCAGAGGAAACCAAGGCAATGAGCCCGGCAGCCCCAACAAGGCTGGCGACGAGTGGCCACACTGAGGCCCTGTTTTGAAGGCAGAGCCTCCAAGATCTGCTGATGGGCTGATATGCACTGAAGTTATTGAGTAAAAGCTCTGAAGATCGTAATCACTTCCATAATCAGTCACAGATCATATTGTTTTTCCTAAGGCATTTTTGCAGTATTTTGTTTTGGAGGGGAGTCCCGAGATGCACCCTGTGGGTTAGTTAGGGCGCCCATGGTTATTCCCCGTCACCCGCTAGGGACATTAAGGTTAGTGGCTTGCCAAGACCAACTGCTAATAAGTAGTAGCACCAGGCTAAAAATGTAACCTTCTGACACTGAATCCTCTGGTTTCCCCAACTTCACTGCCGCGCTAAGTTCTAAGACAGCAGTTTTCAACCCATGCACCACAAGAATTTTTAAAGCATGTGATACCGGACTATTTAGTCAGGGGCACTGACCTCTTTTCCCCTGGATAGACAAATCAAAGAATGACAATAGCCAACACAACAATAGCTGTCCAGAGTGAATGAACCAAAATTGCACCTATTTTTTTTTGTCAGATCAGCAAAAAATACAACATATTTTTTGGAGGGCTGCAGAATTTTAGTAATTAGTCTATGTGTGCTGTGAGACAAAAAAAAGGTTGAAAATCATTGTTCTCAGGTGAGCCTGCAAATATGAAGGATGTTTCCTGTCTTCCTTCAAGCAGAAGGGCTGCCAAAATTCTCGAACGATAGGAAAGCGTGATGTTAACTGAAATTATAACGGTAAAAGAAAGTGAACAGAGTTGGCCCCTCCTGTCTGCTCTGAACAGGACCTGACTTCTCTGGGCACCGTCTGGAGTCATCATGAATTCAGAACACATCCACACGCAGACTCGAATGGAAATACAGCTGAGTGATCCACCGTACAGACTGCTGGCTGGCTGGCTGGGGAGGTGAGCACTTTTTCCCCCTGCCATGAATTTGTATTAAGGATACTCTATTTTCCAAGGTAATAAAATAGCTATAACTCTTTCAGGACAGCCTTGTCTAGCCAGAGTCCAGACACCCCCTGAGCATACCCCTTCTTTCTGGAGCTCCCCCCAGGCCCGGTGCAGTCCTCTTAGCTCCAGCTCCGCCTGGCATCTTGAAGACTGGGTGAGTCTTCCCACCGAGACCCTGAGGGCCACCCACACCCGGGTACTCCCGAGCCACAGTGGTCAGAGCCTGACCTGGCCGAAAGGCACTGCTCTCCTTAGGAACCTGCTGGGCCCGAGGTCGCTGTCCCTGGGGGCAGGTCTTCACCCGCAGTGGCAGATTTTTCCAGAGTTCTTTCCAAACACACTTTCTGACTGCTCTTGCACTTTTGTCGTAGTAGATGTTTTGAAATTTTGTTGTCTTTAAAAGTCCGTGGAGAGTTTGGGTTTTTAACCTTTCCCCTCCTCGCCCCCTCAGAGTATCTGATCAGGAGACAGTAGCGCAGTGATGAGTTCTCAACTCAGCATCAATTTAGTATCTGCACACAACAGGTCTCCCGGTTAGTACCCACCGAGCAAAAGGAAACATTTCCTCAGTTCTCCACTCTGAAAAGCGGGGCGACTAGACCCCCTCCTGGGGCTTTTGTGCAGACATTTGAACTGAGAACCAGTGGGGTGAGATGCTGGGGTCAGCGGGGCTCCTCACTCTCTCCCAACACCCGCCTTGCAGAGCACACAGTTCCCATCCGTTCAGCAAAATGTCCAGCTTCGGCATGTCGGGGATGCTCTGGATTGCTCATAAGTCAAAGAACCACACATGGGAAACTAGAGAATGCCAGAGTTGTACTGTAGTTATCTTCCTGACCACAGGATCTAGCAGCTTTGTACTCACCACGTCTGGAAACCAACCTGGAGCCAGCTTCTGCCTGGAGCCAAAGGCACTCCTCTCAGGGAAAGTACTTCGGTGGGTCCCTAACAGGCAAAGAGCCACCATCCCTGACTCACTACTATGGGTACCTTAGCCTAGGGAGAACTGTGGGCACCCCAGCGAGAGGTTCATTCATTCAGCAAGTGTTTATGGAGCACTTACTCTGTGCCAGGCACTATATTTTCAGGCTGAAAGGGATCTTGGAGATGGACTGATCAATCCTTTTGTTTCAGAGTTGAGAAAGCTGATGGCCAGAGAGTGACTTTCCCAAGGTCCCTTAACCTGCAGAGGTAAACTGGTTCAGCTGTGCTGGGGCAGAGGAGTGATTAGTTTACAAATCGATCACCTCTGTGTTCCCTGGTCCACTGCCTCCAGTGGTCATCCTAGGTCAGCAGAGTCTGCTCAGATCATCTGGGAGATTCTCAGAAGACAAATTAAAATGGTTTTCTCAAGGGAGGCCAGGCCTCCAAGTGGTTTAATGTAACTCTAAGTGCTGTAGGTGATCTGTCACGCCTGCTTCTCCGAGCCCATCCGTCACCGGTCTCTCTCACGCACTCAAAACTCAGTACCCAGCACTCTCTGGACCCTGTGCTGACACGTGCTGTTTCCTGTGTCTGGGGAGGGCTCCCCACTCCGTCTCAGTCCGTGGGTGCCAGAATAAAACACCACACACTGGGTGGCTTTTAACAGCAAAAAATATATTGATCACATGCAGTTCTGGAGGCTGGAAGTCTGGGATCAGGTGCCCATATGGCTGGGTGAGGGCCCCCTCCCGGTTCTCAGCCTTCTGGTTGTGTCCTCACAGGACAGAAAGGACTAGGGAGCATTGTGAGGTCTCTTTCAAAACGGTACAAATCCCATTCACAGGGGCTCCACACTCATGACCTCCCAATGAGGTAATCACCTCAAGGGCCCCACCTCCTGATACTACAACCTTGCGGGGTGGGGCAGATTCCAACACGAGACTTTAGGGAGGACACAGGCATCCGGGCCCGAACACCCGCCATCTCTGGCTCGCCCACTCCGCAGTCTCTAGGTGTCAGACCAAACGTCTTTTTCTCAGGAGGCTTTCTCAAGACCAGATGATGGCCCTCCGTCACAGGCTCTTGGAGCACCTCTTCTCCCTGCATCACAACTCTCTTCACCCGGGATGGATGATATTATGTCTTTAATATCTTTCTTCCCTGAGAAATTTTAAACTGTGCCAGGGAGGAGCCTGAACCTGCCTCCCCCTGCAGGGATGCCCACACTCAGCACGACACGCCTAGCACGCTGCAGACACAGGGTCAACACGTGTGGGGACAAGAACAAATGCAGCCAGCTTCAGGAAGCACCTGGCCCCACATCCAGAGACAAGGGTGAGCACAGACTCAGCTGGAAGCCACCACTGAAATGAAATGGACGCGAGGACTCCAGAAAAATCCAGGGGCACAGGAAGAAAACGCGTCCCTCTAAAAGGGTCTTCCTCCTTTCACCTCCTTTCACACTGAGGGGGGCGGGCCCACACACTTCAACATGCTTTCATCACGAATGGGATCTGCCATCTGGGATCAGGATGATCAGAAGTTTCAGGATACAGAGCAGGTTTCTAGGGCCCCCTCTGGCAGCCCTGCATGCTGACACAGACTGTGCTCCCCACATCTGGATTCCACATCTGGTGAGTCACGTACGTCTGAGGGGCAGTAATTGTGGGGTAATGCGTTCTGTGGGCTCGCGTTTCAGCGGCAATGACAGACAGCAATCCTGTGCCTGGGGCTCCATGCAGGAGGTCATTAAGACCAACCCCAACTCCAGAGGGAGAAAGCCACAGTGGCCGCCTGCCTAGCGGGTAACCGGGGCTGAGAGGTAGAATGACAGTTTTCTGGCTTTTCTTGGAATACAGCTAGTCTGCTAACTCTGTAAAGGCTTTAGCCCAGACAAACCAAGAAGCAGCTGAACTGAGCTGTAGTTTTAAAGGGCATCTTACTCACTCAAGGCAAGAGATCCTACATTAGGCAACCCGGGTTCTGGTCCTGACTCTGCCACCGACCCCCGGGGCCAACTTGTGGGGGGCCAGTTTCCCACAAAAGAAAGGGAAGTTCTCTAAGCTTCCTGCTGTTCCATCAAACCTATAATGTGGACTGAACTGTGTCCCCTCCAGACCCGTCTGTTGAAGTCCTACACCCAGCATGATGGTAATTTGGAGGTAGAGCCTTTGGGCATTATTAGGTCTAGATGAGGTCATGAGGGTAGACAGCCCAGGACAGGATTGGTGGCCTTATGAGAAGAGCTTCCAGCGAGCTTATTCTCTCTCTCTCTCTCTCTCTCTCTCTCTCTCCCCGCCCCCTTTCTGCCATGGGAGGACACAGCCAAGAGGAAGATTCTCACTGAACCTCACCAGGCAGGCACCTTGATCTCAGACTTGCAGCCTCTGGAACAGGGAGAAAGGAAATTTCTGTTGTGGAAGCCCCCAGTATCTTGTTACAGCAGCCCCAGGAACTGCTGCACGCCCCTCGCCTTGCTCAGGGCTTCTTCCACCCTTCCAAGCCAAGCTGGGGCATCACACCCTGACAGGCCTTCACAGACCTGCAGAGGTAGCTGAACTAGGGGGACCCTGACCGGGATCCTCAGTGCTCTATCCTTGTGGCTCAGAATCCCACCAAAGCCCTTCACCTGTCAGAGAAAGGTGGTCTTCCTAGGGCCTCCGTAGGCTCCTGAGTCTGACCCTTGGGTGACCTCTCCTAGGGGGCCCCTCCAACAGGAGCAGGCTAGGCCCTGGGTGGTGGGGGTTACTTCAGCCTCCTCTGGGGGGCATGCAGCCTGAAGGTGGGAGATAAGACCATAACAGAGTATCTTTGGGGTTTATGGCAATTTACACTTTCTCAAAGCTCTTCAATGAAAGTCTCTCCCTGTGCCACATGGTAACCTTGGCAGAAAGGCAGAAATGATCACTCTCAGCTTACAGCTCGGTGATCAGATCCAGAGATGGTCAATTCCCTTGCCCAGGGTGGAAGCCACAAGATTTGAACCTAGTCTTGGGGCTATTTGTTCAGTGTTCTTCCTACTCCGCCAATTGTTTCTCAGATCTGTGCACAGATCTGACAGCCTCGGGGTGAGGCTGTGGCAGGAGAGTGCTGTGGTAATGGCCAGACGCCACCTGCAGGGGGTGTAGGAGAGAAGCTTCCTGAGGGGGCAGGCAGGAAGTTCCCCATAGGTGTGGGGGGTGATAACAGCCATAGGCTGGGTTCCCACCAGCAGAGGGGGATAGGGTGGTTTCCTAAGTGAGCACAAGATGGACTAGGGGTGTAATACCTGCCTGCTCAGAGAATCTGGGGACTCACTCTCCTGAAGAACTAGAGGATTAAGGAAGACTTAGGATGGGGCTCCAGGGATGGAGGAAGGGGTTCTCCGACACTGCTAAATCAAGGAGCTCGACTGGAAATTGATTTTGAGAGACAATGGAGAGTCGCTGATGGATACTGAGCAGGGAGTGGACCCTGTGCCAGGTTCTACATGATAAAAAGACATTCACTCTGACGTTCACTCACTGAACTTTATCGAGCATCTCCCATGGGCCAAACAGGACCTGGTCTTAACCTCCAGGAGCCGGCAGGCCAGTGAGCCGTGTGTTCTGTGTCCATCTAGCCCGTGGAGTCTTTCCTGATGCTGGTGCCCTTGTGCAAGGTCTATCTCAAGGAAATTTCCAGGGGCTAGAGAGGGGAGGAGACCTCTCAGCTGCAGCCCCCGCCAACATAGGCATCAACTCCCCGAAAGCAAGGCTGGCTTCCGGGCAGAATCTAGGCAATGACGTCTTGGGGGCCAGGGGCAGGAGGAAGGGAGAGCAGGCTTCACTGCAGGTGCTGTAGAGCCCAAGGGGCCTGCAGGGCTATGGGGATAACAGTGCCAATTAGTCCATGCTTCAGAGAACCTTCTGGAAGGTGAGTGAAGGGTTCTTCGGGTCACCTGCTATGCAAGCTGTAGGGGAAAGCTGCCCCTACACAGGGCCAAGGACACCTTTATCTGCTGAGCCAGACTGGAGTGATCCCCAGCGGGCCCATCCACAGTCCAGCAGGTTTTTCCAAAAAGGTGCAGTCACATCATCAGGATCTTTGTCATCTGGCCTGGAGCTGGCAAACACACTCCCCAACCCCCAGTTAACTACGCCATACTGGAAACACAGCCCATTATCACACGATGGGGCAGCCAGGCTGAATCATCCTGGGGCAGACAGGAAACCTTCAATTAGGGGAATAGCTCAATGCAAAGGTATCAGCCTGGCGTCTCCTAGGTACCCCCATTCCCTGAGGATAATTCTAGCCCGTCTGATCATCTCACAAGTTTTTGTATAGTCACAACCACATATAAGACACACATTGAAATTCACTTCTAATTCCACTGTTCACCATTTACTCTTACGGATGATGTCACTGTACCAGTAGTTGCAAACACACTTTAAATGCAAAACTGGGCAACATTTAAACGTGTCAGTGGCATAACCCAGACGTGGGCCTGGGTAGGGAGGGAGAGGGAGCACGTGATTTTATGGAAAGGCGGCAGCATTTCCTTGGAAGGGTTGTGAGAATTTCTTTAGAAGGCCTGCCACCATCTTCGGGCAGCTCTTGGTGATCACAGTAAGAGAGAAGAAGGAAGGGCATGAATAATCTAAGTTGGTGGGGAATTTAAACAAACCAGTAAAAAACCATGCATCTGGCTCTGGCATGCGGTCAGACGTCGCTACAATTCGACACACCCATCCTCCCTCTGCACCCGCCTGCCCACACCCTCCCGTGCTGGCTGGAGCAGCAGTCCAGGAGGCGGCTGGGCAGGCGGCCATAAGCAAGCATTAAAATGGATAATCCATTTGCCAAGACTCAAGAATCTGTCTCAAAGTACGGAAACGTTTCTCACAGGCTGCACAGTTAGAGAGGCACACCCCGCTGGGCAGTCTGCTCACCTGGCCACGTGAGTGGACCAAATAAAAAGGTGGATAAATTAGTTTGTGGCACAATTGTATCAGTGGTCAGGAAAGCCGACCCTATAACCAGCAGGATGGGGAGGGTAAATTATAGTCTTTTTTCTCCACTTCTGATCCTTTCTCTCAAAGTGACTTTTTGTAAGCCTTTATCTTGGAAATGGAATTGCAGGACAGAAAATAGCATATTTTTCAATGAAAGGGAGAGAAAGATCTAGGGGGTATTTTGTTTGTTTTTGGTTTAAATGAACAGAGACTGAAGATGGGACCAGCTGCAAGGAAGTGTGTACCCAGGAAACATCCCCGCCAACCTCACCACCTGCAGCCACATGATCTAGATGGGGGAGGGGAGGTTTCTCAGGAGCCTCCCTTCTCCCAGAACTGCCTTTGGAGTCACATGGACCAGTGATTGGACACACTTCATAACAGTTGGCAACCACAGGCTCTTTACTCAATCTGAGCGGCAGTGTCCTCACCACAGGATGGGGATTCCACCGGGTTGCAGCAACAGGAGAAGGCCTGTACCAGCATGAAGTCAGCAGTCAGTAAGGCATTCACAGCGCTATTCTTGTGTGACCCCAGCTGGCTTCCACTGTCACCCAGATTGAGGGGTTAAAGAAGTGACAGCTAAGAAATGGGGCTCTCTGTCCAGCTGCAAAGCAACCAGGAGGCGGACTGTGGGAATAGAGAAAGCCATCTCTGGTGCTGGAAAAGGGAGCTAGGGGTAGGGGGCTGGGCAGCACTGCGAGTCGCACCTCGCTGAGAGAGGCCTTTTTGCACATTGACTCTGCCCAACAACACACGGGGTAGGGGGGGAGGGGGCATGGGAACTATCTGTCCACCTGTGCACCTCCTCCAGAATCGCCCGTTGCCCGGGGATCGCCTGTGCCAAGGCCCACTTGTCGCCAGATCTGAGAACACTCACTGGCACAGGTCTTCCCATCACTGCGGAGCACGTGGCCCTCAGGACATTGACAGGCGTAGGATGTGTCCGTGTTGATGCAGGCGTATTCACAACCATGGTCACTCAACAAGCAGTAATCAGCCCCTGCAAAACCCAACAGCCAAGAGAAGTGGTCAGCGAGGCCTCTGGGCTTTTCTGCCCCACCTCACGCCCAGGCCTGCGGTCACCCGGGACATCCCCCTGATCTCCCTGGAGCAAAGGGCAGAGGAAAGAGGGGCCAGGCGCTGTCCTCTGCAGTCCTCACACTTTTCACTGCTGCTGCAAACCTCCCAGGTCAGAGAGGGGCGGAGGGGGACTCACGGGAGCAGGTCTTGAGGTCCTCATTGATGAGGAAGCCTTCCAAACACTGGCAGACGAAGGACTCCTCTGTGTTGAGACACAGCTGCTCGCAGCCATGGTCCTGCTCCGCGCAGTGATCCACCCCTGCGCTTGTCACAGGAAAACAGAAAACAACAATAATGGGAGCGGACATTGCCCACCAGCAACGGGGCACTCAGTATAAAACCTCCGCGGAAGGAGCCCCAGAAGAGCCACCTCGCTTTATTCTACCCGGTGTGGCTGGCCTCTCTAGGGTATTAGTCTTGCTCGTTTCTCCTCCCATGTCCTTGAAGAGTAGAGCACGCACTGCACAGCACAGCCCGGTGTTCCTGACAGCAGCCCTCTTTGCCGAGGGCCTTGGCACACACTGGAAGTGCTCGGGGCAGTGTTGAGAACAGATGCGAACCCCATCTCACCGGGAGGCAAGAGAGGCTCGGGAAGGCCTAGCTGTCTGCCCAAAGCCGCACCGCTGGCTGAAGAATGGGCTTCCTGGCATCAAACTGCTTGGGATCGAGCCCCACTCCACCACTTCCTGGCCGCGGGATGCCGGGCAGTCACCGGCCCCGCTGCCACTGTTTCCTGATGGGAAACGGGATGATGACGGCTGCTTTCTTAGAGGGCTGGGGTGGGAAGTCGGGGAGCTGCTACATGTAAAGTCCTCAGAATCATCGCTGGCGCCCAGTCACCTCTTAATGAATGCTTATGATTATTATTAAGTAGTGTTGAGTAAGAATTAATTGTATAGTTTCATTTCCATCTGAAAATGAAATACAAGGTTCTTTCCCCCATAACCAGGACACCCAGATTCAGAAAACAAGCCAAAGCCCAGGCCTACGGGATGGCTGCCCCTGGCACCCCCATGCTGCACAGCCGGCCCCGCTGGGCAGCGGGCTCTGAAGGGCCCTGAACACACAGCTGCGTGAGCGGCTTTCACAGAGGCCCTGTGGGCTGTCTCCCAGAAACCGGACAGACACTGGAAGCCTTGTGCAGGGCCAGCAAGTGGACTTCTTTGGCTCCCACAGGGACTGGCTTTGATGCCTTCTGGAACATTCCACTGGTGGATGTGCCTGCTGCAAACGTTTGCAGGATCTCAGGAGCCAGAGGCTTGTATTTACACCCTGGTTCCACCATTTACCAGGTGTGTGGCCCCAAGAAAGCTACTTAATCTTTTTGTGCCACAGTTTCCCTTATTTAAAAAAAAAACTTTTTATTTTTTATTGTAGAGGCAGAGGAAGGGAGGGAAAAAGAGAAACATTGATCAGTTGCCTTCATTAGGAGCCTAACCCTAATCAGCAACCCAGACATGTGCTGTGACCGGGAATTGAACTGGTGACCTTTAGGTCAGCAGGATGGTGCCCAACTAACCGAGCCACACTGGCTGGAGCTTCCCCATCTTTAAATAGAGATAAGAATGTAGATGCCTCCTAAGGCTGTTTTGAGGATAAAACGAGTGAATGCCTGGAAAATGCTCACAGCGGTGCTGCCCAGAGGGAGTGCCCAGAAAGGCTTGCTGTCTTGTGGCCCGGGGCTCCCGGAGCCCTGAAGGGGAATAGGATACAGCAGCTCTCTCTGGGGAATCCCAGGAAGAAATGGCTTGGTTTATACTTTCTAAAGCTGACTAGGTGGTCCTTCTCACTGGATTCCAGGGAGAAAAAAAATGGCCCATCTCTCTGTCCTCTTGTCTGAGTTCCTCTAAGTCCCCCAAGGCATGCTGGGAGGGAGAGGCAGCCATGGTCCCTGGGGCTCTAGGTGGGCTCAGCCAGGCGGTGCCCAGCCTGCCCCCAGATACTGGCCACACTCGTGGAAGAAGGCGGAACGTGCTCAGATCCATCTTCACCAGGGCATCTCCTTGTCATGTGGAAGACCTCCTGCTCTCCACTCATGTCTCAGGAGGGGACTCAGAGACATCCCCGGGCAAATGCCATGGTGGGGCCGACCTTCTGGTTCAAAGTCCTCTGACCTCTGAGATCAGTCCTTGGAAAGCCTACTAGAGGCACTCTGTTCCCTCTGAAGACTGAACAGGCACAAGTTTTCCTGAGGACTCTGCTCTGTACCTAATACTTCATCTGTGAAATTTCCCCTCCTGGCAATTTGAGGTCCAAATGCTGAACAGCTGCACTGTTCTCATTCACAGTCTATCTCTGTCCCCAAAGCTGGAGCAGATGTGCGGCTTGCTGGGTGGAAAGCCACACAAAGGGCCCCTTCTCTGCTGGCGGGTCACCAAGCCCCTCTCCCAGCACCAGGGTCACAGGCACCCACTGCGGTGCTCAAGCGCCCCCACTCCTGCTGGCCTGGGCCAGTGCAGACTGGGCCTCATAAAAGACGGAACCATCCAGCTGGCAGAGCCTGCTAGTTTCCGTGCATTTACGTCACCCAAAGGGGCTTTGTTGTGCCTCTTACAAAAGAAAATTAAGGCAAGGCTTCACAAAAAGTCCCATGTGTCTCAGCTCCACCCTCAGATTAGCTCTGTGGTAGCCCTAGTGCTTTCCAAGCTCTGCCCCTTCCCGCCTCTTGTCCTAAGCGGAGGCCAGCACTCTCCCAGGCTCCGTGATAATAATAAACTATTATCTGTAACTGTATGTTTTCTCTGTGCTGGGCACTGTGCTAAGAGATTGAAATGTTCCTAATTATTCCCCTTAACAACTCTAGGAGATCAGGCCTATTATTATCTTCACTTTCTTAAACAGATGGAGAAATCAAACTTGACCAAGTGAAGTAAGTGCCCTTGGTCACATGTCCAGCACGCAGTCGAGCTTGGACTTGGCTTCAGGATGGTCTGACTTAATCAGTGCTGTCGAGAGCACTGATTAATATTTATCAAGTGCTGATTACATGTTTCACAGCACTCTTCTAAGTGTTTTGTACATATTGATTATTTTAATCCTCACAATGCAATCTATGGATAGAGAGCATTACTAGTCCCATTTTATGGATGATGAAATTGAGGCAAGGAAGTTTAAGTCTTGTAGACCCTCAGGCCCACAGGAAATCCAGGGACTTCAGAAGTAGCAGGCTGCTAGTGAGCTTGGAGGCGTGGTGGGGCCCCTTCCCTCTAGCCAGCACCACCACCCCCGGGCACACTCACGGCTGCAGGTCTTGCCATTGGGGTCCAGGGCATAGCCCCGGTGGCAGCGGCAGTAGTAGCCCTCCTCTGTGTTGACACACTCGTGCTCACAGCCTGGCCTCTTCAGTGCACAGTAGTTGATCCCTGGGGGGAGAAAGGGCAAATTCTGCCTCAGGCTCTGGGCTTCTCCAGGGCTGTGAGGTCAGCCCCTCACAGGGAACGGTAAATAAAGTGTTTTACAAAACACACAAAAAACACAGCTCCTGCTGTCCCGAGCTTGTCTGAAGGAGAACCTGGTCCCCAAAGCGTATGCTTGGTGTCTGCAGCATGCGTCTTTTCCCCTTTGACGTCCGAAAAGCTGAAAAATGGGTTGAGGGCCACAGTCCCCAGCCTCATCACTTCCAAAAAAGATGGAAAAGCTGAGAAAATCCAGGAGTCTCTTTTTCCAATTAACCTGATCACTAGGGTTCCAAAGCACGTGGGGAGCTTCCATCTGCTGTGGCATCTGACGGTGGCATCAGATGGCACAAAGCAGAATGAACAAAAGCTGATCTTGCAAGATGACCAGCTCCTTAGGAGAGGCAGGAGATGGCAGTTATGTTAAGAAGTGTCCAAATGCTCAGGCTTGCTCTGAGTGAGACCATGGCAGCATCCACCTCAAGAACCTGGAGAAGACCCACCTCAGATGCTGCCCAGGCTGTTGTAGTTTTGTCCTGTGGCAATATTCACCCTATCTGAGCTAGTTAGCAGTCTAGTTGCCTAGCAGCCGATTAGCAGTTTCATTTCCTGGTAAAAAGTACTAACACCACAAGGCTTCACATAGAACAGGTTATGGGAGAGATGGAGAACAGTAAAAGGGAACAGAATGAGCTTGTGGGGGGCTTTTATGAGACTGGTGTTGGGGGGAAGGTCATCACCAACCTCAATGGCTGGGCTGGATCAGTTTAACTACATTGTTCTTTTTTCTGGGGGGTGTGACAGACACTGTTGGTTGCCTTGCCAACAACCATTACCCTGTCTTCTTGGGACCGGAACCCTGATCTTCATAATGGCTGGTCTAAGTCAGCCTGGCAACTGTGTTCTCCTTTGTCAGTGATTGGTCTAGGGGTGGGAATGTGCCCTAGTTCTAGCCAATGAGACATACGGAGAAGTTTATTGGGCCCCCTAGGAAAAATTTTCGTTCCTGAAAAGACAAAGATGTATAAAGAGAAATGTTCTTTGCTACCCTCTTTCCTTTTTCTCTCTGGGTCTAGTAGTGTGAGGTCATGATGCCTGGAGCTATGGGGGCTGTTTTATAGCCACAAGACTACAAGTGTGAGGATGAAAGATCAACACACTTTAGCAGAGTAAAGGGACAGAAAGAGTCTGGGTTCTTGACAACATCACTGAGTCGGCCCTGGGATCGACCACCTCTGGGTCTGTCAGGTGAAAGTAAATGTCCTTAATTGGCTTTGGACACATGCCATGACCTGGATGACCCTTGAAGATAGTATGCTAAGTGAAATAAGGCAGTCACAAAAGGACAAATGTTATTTGAGATACCTAGAATAGCAAATTCATGGAGCAGAAAATAGAATGGGGTTGCCAGGGGCAGCAGGGAGAGAAGAGTGGGGTGCAGTGTTTAATGGGCACAGAGTTGCAGTCTGGGGAGACGAGAGAGTTCCAGGGCTGGGGGGTGGTGATGGTTCCATGATGATGCAGACTACGAAGTGCCCCTGAACTGTACAGTGTACAAGGGTTACAATGTAAGAGCAATGGGAAATTTTGTTATGTATGTTGTACTACAATTTTTAAAAAGCTGGTATGGTCTTCAAGAAAGACATACACACAAAATAAATAAACTGGAAAATGTCTAGATTCTTAAAGAGGTTATCATATAGTCATTTGGCAAACAACAATTCAAAAATGATTATTGATCTTTGTATTCTTTACACGCTTCAGTCACATTTCTTCATGTCTATTACTTAGATATTCACTTGCCTATTTATTCATTCAGTCAGTTTTTATTGAGTAGCTACTATACACCCCATATCTGGCTCAGTCTCGTCCCTAACTGTGAAGTGCTATACATGGGCCAGGCTAGGGTGCAGCTTTATCTGGTAAAGCCCCTGTGAGGTCAGATGATCGAACTGTTGGGTAACAAATTAAACAGCGCTTATGAGATGGAGACCACGCTGAGGAGGTAAGACAAAAACATGAAAGATCAGTGACCCCAGGGAATGAATTATAATGCCAGCTGAGTGGCATGGGTAGTTCCGAAAGTGGGCCAGCTACTAAATGTTAAAGCAGGAAGTCATGTTCCTTCGGTTTAGTAAATCCAGGCACTGGTAAGTAAAGCAGTCTGTCCAAGGTCACACGGCCAGTGCAGGTGACACTGCCAAGACCAGCCCTCACGTGCCCCGGTTCAGTCCAATCAGTGAACCCCACCCCAGGTCTTTTGAGTGTGAGGTCTCCAGCTTTGGGGAGCACCGGCATAAGCGAGCCTGGAGCCCACTCACATCTGATTCCACCCCGGGGCCTCAGCTGGAAAGCCAGGCCAGTCCTGGTGTCTGTGCTTTGCACAGCTGTCTTAATAATTTATGCCTTAAATCGATGACAGCACTTTCCAGGAAAAGAAATTGTGCCCAGATGAGGAGGAAGAATGAATCCTTGCCAAGGGTCTTTTCTTCAGTAGGATTCTGCTTGAACTCCTCCCTCCTCAGTTTAATTGCATGACATCAAATTCCTTTGAAAAATAGATTTCTTATTAGATTTGAAAATAGCCCACATCCATTAACTGCCTATTACATGTAGATGACTGTACTCTGAGCTCAAGATCTATAATGTTCTTGAGATCCTCACACTCCTAATAACAAACTCCAGGTTTGAGACCCAATTTCTTTGCTTCCCTCTTCCACGTAATGCTCCAGAGAGACAGTGAGTGCTCGCTTTCATGAGCAGCTGTCTGCCACAATGGACTGAGCGCAAACATTAAGCCGGGGGCTGGGTCAGCAGCAAAGCCTGGAAAATGTAACAGTGAGGCAGGATGTTGGGAGAAGGGCTGATGAGGACATCGGGTTTCAGGAACAAATTCCGTTTCCTTGGAAGAAAAAGTAGGGCACCTGGCTAAAGAGGAGATGGAGCTCTGACTGCTGAATATACAGGGTGGGGCAAAAGCAGGCTTACAATTATTCGTACGAAAAATATTAATTAATTAACAAATAGGAATACAAGAATAAAGTCTGGGTTTCATGTACTCACAACTGTAAACCCACTTTTGTTCCACTCTGTGTGTTCACGAGCATTAGGGACTCTGGGCTGGGCCCAAGTCTGCGAACGGTGTCTCTGCGGACGCTGAGGTCAAACACTTCTGTTCGGCCTCTTCCCCTGCACTCGCCCTTCTGGTCTCCGCCTCCCTCCTCCTTGGATAGTGAAGTGTGCGCTGCCTCGAAGGACCCTGCTCTTATTCCAAGGGCCTCTCTGGGCCGGAGGTGGAGGGAGTGGCAGAGGTGGAGGGGCTCTCAGATGAATGGGATGAGACTAGGAACTTCAAGCAGATTCCCTGCACTGATGGCCACATGCCTGGCTTGTTTCCTCTTCCCTCCGTTAGTAACGCAGTGCAGCTCACAGTGACACGAGTGTCTGCTTTGAACGAGATCTAATTATTCCCACATAAGAGCTTCTGGCCCTCAAATATGAGTCCACCTGTGAGTGGTTTTCCCTGGGTGTGGTCAGCCATGGACACATTCACCACCAAAAAAAGACGTGAAAAGAGCAGGGAGGAGCGGCTGGGCCGGGAAATCTGGCCTCTAACACTCTGTGTGCATGTGCGGTCCAGTGGAAATACTCCATCTGATTGTTTCTGCATGCTGAATGCTCTCGGTTAAAATTCCCATTTCATGTGTGGGTGTTCCCAGGGTTTGCATGTGGGCAAGGCAACGCAGTTATCTGCTATAAAACAGGCTCGGTTTCAAAATATGGGCTGTGCAACCATCTGCCGGTGTACGAGGCTTAACGCTCCCTAGAGTGAGTGTGTGAGTCTGTATGTGTTGTCAGCAGAATGTGGCTCCTCTGGATTCAGTTACACAGCCTACAGTCCTTTTCAAAAGAGATATGAGGTCAAACCTCTTAAAAACCGGTCCTGTGATGCAGAGCTGCTGCACCTATCACCAGGAAGGGGGACAGAGCCCATGAAATTATACACCCCTAAATGGGAGCTCCCAAGAATTCTGTGTACCACACTGTCAGGAGAATGAGAACAACTCAGGGTGTCTAAGTGTGGCCTGACTATGAAAATGCTTTTTGGAAAAATTCACAACGTGCATGCCTTAAAAAGGCCATCTTTCCAACAAGATTGAGTAATTCAAATAATAATTGCAAGTTCTCCAGGATGACCAATCTCAGAGAGATCCATCCATTCATTCACTTAGTAAATACTGTGTCACACCTACAGGTGCCAACACTTTGAGTTGTTGAGGATGCAAGAGTGAGAAAAAGGTAAGAATCTTTGTCCTTGTGGAATTTTCAGTCCAGGTGTCTCTCAAGGACGGTCTGGTGTAGAGATCCCATTTGGGGACCATGCCCTGGGTCCCCAGACAGGCCCCTTAAAGTGCCAGGTGACAGGCATTTGAGTCACTCTGCCCATCCTTAATATCATCGTCCTGACACCATGTCCCCCTTGAGTGGTGCAGGGCTGCTCAGAGCCTTGTTTTCCCTCCCTTCGTATCAAAGAGGATAGAGCTGCAATTTCCTTCTCTTAGCGGCTACCAAGTGTCGTATTTCATAGGACTGGAAGAAACCCGCTCCTTTTGCCTCCTGTCTCTGGAGTCTTTTCTTTCTCAAGGCCCCAAATACATGTTGTGGGGGTAAGAAGGAGGGGGAGAGCACCCCCCTTTCAGATAAAGCTTCAGCTTGGGCCTCAGCATTGCTACGTGAACCCAATGGGCAGGCCTAGTCCATTCGATCTCTCGACGTCATCCCCATCACAGGATCATGTGAGACAGAGATGCAGTAAAGGGCAGGATAATATGAGGAAACATAGAAGTTGCACACACATACATCTGGTTAGAGATTCTCAAGGAAAAGGAAAACTAGTGGGGCATGTAGCGGAACAGCCCTTTTCAGACACGCAGGGCCACTTACTTCTGCAGGTTTTCTTATCCGGGTTCAGGGTGAAGCCTTTCAGGCAGCGACAGGAATAGGCATCGTCTGTGTTAACACACTCGTGCTGACATCCGTGGTTCCGGGAGGCACAGTAGTCTATCTCTGCCAAGAAAGAAAAACCATTAGTAACGAACATAGCAATGAATCTAGCATAGGGAAGCGAAGGGATTTTCGTCTTAACCTTTGCTAAACAGACAAAATCCTGTGACCTCAATCAAACACTAATGCCACAAAGAGATCTCTCTATGAAGCTATTTCCATGTTTAGCGATATGGTGCTTTAGAAGAGAATTTTCTTGACATGTTACCAAATATTTATACAACAAAGCAATTTATGAAGATGCTTTCCTTGTTTTGGTTCATGTAAGAGCCCCTAAAGTGGAAGAGTATGATTGAGTGTTGTTTTGCTGTATTATAGGCTGGGGAAAAAGAGTTTGGTGATGTTTCATGGAATTTATGCAATTAGAACAATGACATCTTCCCAAAGCAAAACTCCAAGCCACTTAAATTCCTCAACACAGAGACAACCAATAGGATACAAAATCACATCGTGGGAAAAAGAAGGTTCCATCCATATTCTAGGCATGAAAAGCATAGATATTCTGGATGCAAAACACTTCCCTTCTTACAGCTGCATATAGATGGGGTCATTCATCTCCAAGTTTCATAACCAGGGAATGTGATCTCTAGGTGTACATTAATTTAATCAAAGTAGTCAGAGAAAAGTTTACATGCAATTTTTTATAATGGGCTTTTACTTATGTAAGTATTTTTAGATATGGGAAGAGACCATTCTATTACATTTAAATTTTGTGATCAAAACATTTTGCTATAGTGGAACTTGGATGAATTGTTTGAAATGGCTTGAAATAAGTGGCCACTGACGGGGTCTTAAAAGAAGTCTTTTTGATTTGATGAGGATTTTTATTGTTTTATGGAATTTGTGAACTATGTATATTATTTTCGTATAAAGAATGTGGTATAAATGAGTTTTCCCAGCCTGTACTAAACAAAAGAAAAGCATAGAATATCCTCTAAAACAAAATCTTCACTTGAGGATATATTTATGGATTTTTTAGAGAGGGGGAAGTGGGGGAGAGAGAGAAAGAGTGTGTGGGGGGAGAGTGGAGAGAAACAATGATTGGTTGCCTCCCGTGCAGGACCTGACTGGGGACTGAACCTGTAACCTAGGTACATGCCCTGCCCAAAAGCTGCAATCTTTTGGTGTACAGGACAACACTCCAACCAACTGAGCCATCTGGCCAGAGCTTGAAAGAAAAAGCGTTGAGAAGATGCCAATTCTTCCTAATTTAAAGTCATGGAAATTTTAAACATGCACAAAATGGATGGAATAGTATAATAAATCCGTGCTCATGTCACTCAGCGTCAAGAGAATCAGTCTACGGCTGACCCGGTTTCGTCTACACTGCCGTCCTCCACATTAACGTTCCGTAGTACTCTGAAGCAAACCCCAGATGTAATATAATTTTGTCCATAAATATTTCATAATGTCCTTAAAAGAGTGGAACTCTTAAAAAGATAACTACAGTACCAAAATCAGATATAATCAGATATAAAGGTATTTAAAAACCTTTTTATTTGAAAACTATTTCAAACTTACAGAAAATTGCAAACATAAAAATCCAAGTATGTAAATACAAGAAACACCTATACACTCTCGACCCACATTTCATCTATCGTCACGTTGCTTTATCATTTGCTCATCTTGCTGAACTATTTGAGGGTAAGTTATATCCGTCATGATCCTGTTTCCTTAACAATGTGTTTCCTAAGAGGAAGGATATTCTCTTAGTGTAGCTATAAACTTCATAAATTTACATGAACACAATACTTTTATTTAACCTACCATCCATGTTCTAGTCTTGTCAGTTGTTCTAATAATGTTTTTTATAGCAACTTTCATCCTCCAGTACAGGATCCAGTAGTCTAGGGTCAGAAATTATATTTAGTTTTCATATATGCTTAGCCTTCTTTAATCTACAACCATCCTGTCTAATGAGGCCACTTAAATGAAAATGGAAATGAAATGAAATGGAAAATGAAAATTCAAATTAAATAAAATAAAAATTCAGTTCCTGCCCTGGCTGTTGTGGCTCAGTGGACTGAGTGCTGGCCTGTAAACCTAAAGGTCACTGCTTCAATTCCCAGTCAGGGCACATGCCTGGGTTGTGGGCCAGGTGCCCAGTAGGGGGCACTAGAGAGACAACTGCACATTGATGCTTCTCCCCCTCTCTTTTTCCTTTCCCCCCTCTCTAAAAATTAATAAATAAAATCTCAAAAAAATTTTTTTGGATAATGCTGAAATGACATATGAAAATGCTCATCATTAAATGTCATATTATATGACCTAAACTCTACAAAATATATTCATACGCATAAAAATAGAGAGAAATACAGCAAATTGATATTAACAATGGTTATCTTTGGATAATGAGATTACAGATCATTTCATTTTGTACAATTTCATATCTATAATGTCCAATTTTCTACAATAAACATATATTACTTTGGTAATATAATTAAAAAGTATTAAAATAAAAATACACATTCATAATTGTGAAGCTAGTTGCCATGGAAAAAGGCAGAAATAACACAGAAAAAAGAACATTATAGGAGGAACCAAGTAATTTGGAGAAGAAAATACTCAGAGAACATTACTGGGAATGACACGTAAATCTTCAGATCTCTATATCCAAAACATCAAATACAGGCAACAAACAAAACCATTTTAGAAGATCCACAGACGAGAGTGACTATGAGCGTACAGGTATAGCTGGAATTTGGGTAGGGAAGAAGCAAAGGTGTGAGTGTGGAGAGGGCAGCCTGTATGTTCTGCGGACCACAATGCCCACATCACGGTCTCACTCTATTCTAGTCATGCAGACTCTCTTGCTGTCTGTCCCTCAACCTCGCCAGGTCTCACAGTTCTTGCCTCAGGGCCTTTGCACTGGTTCTGTGTTTCCTCTGCCTCAAAGGTCTCCTCTCACCCTCATGTCCTTCAGGTCTTTAATAAATTCGTCACTTTCTCATTGAGATTGGCATTCTACTCTTACCCTGCTCCAATAGAATGCAAGCTCCATAAGGGCAAAGGTCTTTTGGCCTGTTTTATTTACTGCTTTATATCATTTCTACAATAGTACCAGGCACATAGTAGGTACTCAACAAATATTTGTTGAATGAATAAATGGTTATTGGTATTACTCTTAATAGAGTGTTTTATGGGGTTTAGATAAGTAAACATTGCCCACCAACTACCACTGAGGGCTCACTAAGAGTGGAAGGCAGGTCTCATGCCTTCCTTGAGGCTTCTTCCCACCAGCCTACCTCAAAACCTCCCTCTAGAAGGACCTCAGTTCAGCGATCAGCATCCTCTGGGGTTCAGACATTCAGCCAGGTACAAACCCAACCAGTAATTTTTCTTTCATCCAGCACACATTTCTCTATCTGGACCATAGGCCCTCTCTTTGCTAATTGATCAAATGCCTATTAAAGTCTAGATAGTTACTACCATATTTTCCACGCCTGCCTAGTCTACTAAATGAAATATAATTATTCTGCTATGAATCATTCTTAGTGACCAAGAAAATGTGAGAAGTTTAATTTGTTCTTCAGGTCTCAAAGTACAAGGAAGTAGTTATCAATTCAGTTTAAGAAATGACTTTCTAAGAGTCAGCATTGTACAAAGTGCAATGCAATGCATGGGTGTAGTGAGTGTCCTGTCAGTGGGGTTATTCAAGTGCAGGCTGGAGGTGCAGGGTGGAGATAATGTATGATGGGTGGCTGAGCCTATGATGCCTACAATTGCCTCTAATCAGGTTGAACTTTAAGTGCCTCTCCAACTGAGAGCCTTTGATTCATGTGCACAGGTCTCACACGTGACATCTTACAGACTATGAAAAGACAGTAGTACTCTGCACATTAATGGTGAGTTAGCCAGGAAACCCAAAGACCAATACATTCTAGTTCTTCTATTGGTGATTCAGTATTAAATTATTTCCTTTTTCTGTGTTTAACTTTTAATGCAAGTACAAGTATTCACTTAGTACTAGTGTGAAGCATTCTTTTTGAAAAATAAGGATGGAAATGTCCCCCAAGTTATCAATGGAGTCTGAAAACTAATGGGTATAATGATCTCAAAGTCTGTAAATAATAAATAGCAACATGAAAAATATGATGCCTACAATTGCCTCTAATCATCATTAGATGAGTAAGCATTAGACATGAAACCCACAGTCTCCATGATACCAAAGACATGAATCCCTGTCCAATGGGCTGAAGTCCTTTATCTTTCCCATGAAAAGACCCTGAACATCCATCTCAGAATGTTCTCATGCCTGCTTCAGGAGTAATGGTTTCAAATTAAACTTCATAAAGTCTTGCCACCATATATTCCAGCAATTCGACTTCTGGATACACACCCGAAAGAACTGACAGCAGGGACTCAAATGGATAACTTGTATACCCACGTTCGTAGCAGCATTACTCACAACAGTCAAAAGGTGGAAGCAACCCAAGTGTCCATTGACAGATGAATGGATAAACAAAATGTCATATATACATAGAATAGAGTATTGGCCAGCCTCAAGAACAAAGGAAATCCTGACACATGCTATAGCATGGATGAACCCTGAAGATACTATGCTAAGGGAAATAAGCCAGTCATAAAATGACACATAGTGTATGATTCTACGTATTTGAGATACAGAGACCAGCCAGATTCATAGAGACAGAACACGGAGTGGCGGTGGCCAGAGGTTGGGGAAGGAGGAGGGAGGGGAGAGGTACTATCTGATGGGCAAGGAGCCTCAGTCTGGGGAGACAGAAACAATTCTGCAGCTGAACGGTGATGGTGGCTGCACCACAACGTGCATGTACTCAATGCCCTTGAACTGCACGCTTTAAAAATTACCATGGTAAATTTCATGTTATGTGTATTTTACCAAAACCAAAAAAGTCTTGTCATATTTTACAAACTGATGGCACTGTACCTACATGGGCCTACCTGTTCCCCTCTGGAGAATATTCATATACATTTGGATGGGTTGTTTGAGGGCAAGGACTTGAGACAAAAGGTCATGCTCTTTCGAACACGACTTAAATATTTTAAGTGACATTTTTTGTTCAGGAACATGAAGCTTTATCATATACACTTTGGCTTAATCATAAATTAATCGTGCTCAGTATATTCCATTGACTAGTCTACATTTCATTAGGCAATAATTGCATCCTTACTAGTTGGGTTATCTTTCACATATACTTTGGGGTAAAAATAGACACTGAAATTTAAGAAACTAAGGACCTTTTATTATTTTTTTCAAGTTTATGAGAAGTGAGAAATTTGTTAAAAAATATAACTTCTAACATCACAGCAGTAGCCAGGCTGACCTGCCTGGAAGCCGTGGTGAGGCCACATAAGTTACTAATGGGGTGCCTGTAGGACCTTGGAGCTCCATCCCGTCCTTCTGTCCTCTTCCTCGGTCCCTACTCCCCAGTCCTCGGTCTTGTCCCTGCCGGGATCTGGAGCACTGTCGAGTGTCTTGGTTGTTACAATCAGCCTTTGCTTCTTTATTTCCTACTCTCACCGCTTTCCAAGTACTCCAGTGTCTCCTTTCTCTTCCCAGCTGCCTCCTGAGGCCTGGCTCCCTGCCCTGCTCCCAAACATGGTGGGAAGGAGGGGCCCTTCTTCTAGGGGGCATATCTCCCTGATGCCGTCCACCCAGACCTCTCTGAGTGCCTGCACTCATCTCTGCCCACGTGTCAGGGTGGCCCACTTCTGGGTCTTGACTCTGGGCCCAAGACTGCGCACCGCTGGGCTCCACGCCTCATCGGTGACACCTCACAGCTGGAGTGGTCCCTCCCCTGACTCTCAGCCAGACCTCCTCTCCAGCCCTAGCACTGCAGTATCCACTTCCAGAGTCTCCTGGCCTGCACCGTCTTGGGGCTTGTAATTCTCCACATCCTAAGAGATTCTGAGATAGGAGGCATGTGGAGCCACAGTGTGGGGGTGACGGTGGAGGAGGAGATCAGGTGACCCCAGCCAGGGAAGGAATTCTGTCCAGGCAGGAAGGAAACTAGATAGGATGTGTGTTTTCCCCCAGGCCTCATCCCAGGGACACTGCAGCATCCCCGCCTGTTCTAGCCCAGCTGGCCTCCTCCTTCCCGGAACTCCTGCTGGGGGTCCTGCCAACATCGCACTGTGAGCCCTCAGTCGTACAGCACTGTGTGTGGTGACTGAGCTGCTGTGTGGCTTGTGTCCACAGCCAGCTTCCAGTGGAAGCTGGGGCCGAGTCTTGAATTTGTTAATGCAGTTAAATTTAGCTCAGGCTCACAATTTATGCTCGATACATACCAATTTAAAGCCTTTGAAGCCAATATCATCCCTGAAAAGAATCTTCTCGGCACCAGGCAATTTGCTAAGTGGTTTATATGGATTAGCTCATTTATTCTTGCGAAGTAGGCAATATTATCATCTCCTATTACAACTGAGGAAACTGAGGCATAAGATCACCCAGTGAAAAGGCAGAGGAGCTGGGATTTGAACTGAGGCCAAGGCTGCCCCTTTGATGGAGAGAACTGACTCATCAGACCAGCAACCACAATTCCCAAGCCATTACCACAGGGCAGGCGGCTGGTTTATAGTTCAGAGTATTCAGACGAGAAAGGAGACCACGAACTGGGCAGTCCATTCACTCATTTACTTGTTCTCTCAATAAACAGCTGCATGCCAGTCACGTGCCAGGTGTGGATATGCACCCGTCTGGCTCATGTGTTTGCATATCTTTCCCCCTGGCTACCCCCAGCTCACCTTTTTCTTCTCACCTGGTGATTGACAGCTCTACCTTCAAGACTCAGCCAAGATCTCTTCTCCTCTAGGAAGGACCTTGCTTTATTCATTGCTACTGGCAGCTACTGGCATGTGGTTAGTGCTCCAGAAATGCATGTTTTCATTTCATGTGTCCCTTCCATTTCCATACTCCACCCTGCCTCCAGTACTGGTGTTTGTAAGCTCTTGATATTTAGGGATTGGTAAGCAAGTTTGTTTCGGAGTTTAGGGGGATGCTTTTAAAAAAAACCATGTAGGTATGTCCTGCTTTACATAATAGATGCATTTTAGAAAGATTAGGGGTGCATGAACTTTTTATGAACGAAATCCTATTTTTTCATTGATGTTTGGTTTCATGATGACTTCTTTTAAATTGCTATTAAACTTCATTGTTAAAAAATATGCTGGGCCCTAATGCTTTAAGAATAAGCTACTTTCAAGCAAACCGCTCTATAGGAGTTTAATAATTCATATAGAATCCCTTAAGTGCTGTGACATACCTTTATATTTAAAAGAATGCTTTTGGAATTCCTTTGTAAACTAGTGATCACCTTTAGTTTACAGATTTTTATGGTCAGATTTTGGAGGCTCAAATTAATTCTGATTTGTGTGTGTATAGTTCAAATCAAATAGAACTACGCAGCTAAAACAAAACATGAGCAGTTCTCTGCCAGCCACCCTCCCCCACCCGGGACAACCACACTCCTTTCGGCTCAGCGATTTTCCTGTACTTGTGTGGAGTCAGAGCTGAAGCCCACAAGCCACAAGCTTCAATGAAAGTATTTCTTAAGCCCCATTAATACTGATGGGCACTGCAAGGCTGAGTCAGCATGAGGTAAGATAGTCTGTTGGCATGCTCAGCAAACACTAGAGGAACACTCCCACCTGTGGTCTCTGATTAAAATTAAAAACCACCTTCATTATATGCCTCGAAGGATGACACTGAAGTAGAGTGAGCTACGGTCTTAGGGCGGCACATTAAGAAAGTCCTGACAAAGGAGAATGGAGACAGAAGGTACTAGACCCCTCAGCACCTCATCCTGTGCTTCTCCAGGCCTGGGAGATTTCCATGGCCACAGTGCCCACAGCAATATCATCCACAGAGAAATTGTCTGGTTGTTGTTTGCGACTTACTTGTGCATGTCTTTTTATCTGGATTCAGGGAAAATCCTTTAGGGCACCGGCAAAAGTAGGAGCCATCAGCATTCACACACTCGTGTTCGCATCCATGGTTTTCCGAGGCACAGTAGTCCACAGCTGTGCAGATTAAAACACAGGGTTTAAGCAGAAGCGCAAACTGAGGTAAAGGGAATGGTAGAATGGAAGCATACTTGTGGTAAATATAAATAGGGATTAATATTGTTGCCCCAAAGAGTATGAATAAGTAAATATGAACCCAAGGCCTCTCTCCTGCAAACATAAAAACCAGGAGCCTAGATCAAGCAATTTATATCAGAAGATAAATGAAAGAATATACGAACCATTGTGTTTGAAAGGTAAAGAAATGCAAGCTGAACCAATCACAAGGCACACTTATAGCTGCTGAACTGCAAAAACAAAGCCAAGGTGAGACCAATGGCAACAAGGCAGCATGGAAAAGGGCCAGGGTTATTGATGGTGGGTAGCATTCTCAATTGTTAAAAATTTGGGGAGGACATTTGACGATGTTCACTCTGGAAATGTGACCAAACAAATTGAAAAAAGGGGGACATTAACTACAAAATATATACAGTGACAAAAAAATCCTGGAAAATAAGATGAAACTAAATGAGGGTAAACAGGTTAGTCACTTATGAGAGAATGCACCGTCCTCTTTCTCTTTAATTCTACAAGTATTTACTGAGCACTGACCCTGGGCCTGCGCTGCTTCAGGTGCTAAGGGTAGAGCAAGAAACCAATCAGACAAGAATTTCAGCCCTCCAGGAGTTCACGTTTGGATGGTGGTAGAGGGTGAAAAATAAGATAAATAGCATAGTCTCGTAGAAGGCAGAGAGTGTTCAGGAGAAAATAAAATGGCGAAAATGAACAGAGACTGTGGGGATGTGGGAGGGAGGGGGTGAGGGAACGGGAGTGTCGGGAAAGGCCTGGCCGAGAAGGTGGCGGTTGGGCAGAGCCTTGAGGAGGCATGAGCCATGAGGACATCTGGGAGGGGGGCCCATGGCAGGATGAGGAGAGGCTGGAGGCTTTGGTTCAGTCTAAAGTCTAAGCCACATGCTTCCAACTGGCCTTTTTCCTGAATGCTCTGGAAAACAGTATCCAGTGTTGGATCAGGCAGTCGTACAGTTGTACAGAAGAAGCCCTTTTAATTGACCTTCACTTAATCCTCTCCTGATCAATCAAGGCTTTCTATTAAAAGTACATTTATGTGTTTTAAATAAAATGGTTAAGGTGGGTTTATACATGTTTTTTATGATTCTGCTCTTTGAATGACATTTCCCATCAATCAGCCAACCACAGGATAGGAAGGCTTCTCGGGGACTCCGATTGCATGTGCTGGTTCTGTTTTCGTGTGCACAGCCTCTGGGAAACTAAGGGGAGAGGAGAAATTGGCAAGGGAGGATTCAGGCCTTCCTGGGTCCTGACCTGAGAGCCTGGCCTGGAGAAACCCCACCGTGTGAAATCCCCACATTGACTGCAGGGCCACTCACTGTGGACAGCAGATGAGACCGTCGGTACAGCGCTAAACATAGAGGAGCTGACTTCCAGGCATGTGCACCAAAAAGGTTTTTAAGGGCAAGATGGTTCCAGCCCATTCAACTCTGACATCCTTGGATGCATGTTATGGGTTCTTTGCATAAATCCCTTGGTTGTAAAATAGTACTTGTGAAAAGTAAGGCCCAGTTTAGGGGGCAGGTGAATGAAGGTGATCTGTGTGTATGACCCAGAGTTGCCTGTTATTCCAAGTCCTTATCTACTTCAAGAAAATCCTTTCTCAGTTACTGCCTGAAATTTCCACACTCTCCTTTTACAAATAGAAAGGGTACAGCAGTCCCTCTTGTCCATGTCCCTCTTGGGTAGATACATTCCAAGATCCCCAGTAGATGCTTGAAACTGCTGATAGTATTGAGTCCTATATATGAGGTCTATCCAGAAAAAGTCCAGCTATTTTGTTAATATAACAAGAATGGTTTACACAACATCAATGTAACCTGGCAGCCAAGGAGAGTGGACTGGAATGTATATGTATGAACAGTGATGACTTCACTCTCCTAGTCAGTGGGGATGGTAGATGCCATTGAGTGAGCATGTGTACTCACATGTGGTCACGTGAGCATGTGGTCATCTCATTCATAATGACTGAATGAGTGGAGCAATGAATCTGCATCAGATTTTGTGTTAAGCTTGAAATTTCCTCCGTGGAAACTATTTGGATGATTCAGAAGGCCACAGCTATGGGCAACTGATGGTTGGCAGCTTCATCACGACAACACACGCACTCATGCATCAGGTCTCATGCAGTAAGTTTTGGTGAAACATCAAATCATCCAGGTGACCCAGCCTTCTGCAGCCCAGATTTGGTGCCCTGTGACTTCTGGCTTTTCCCTAAAACTAAAATCACCTTTGGAAAGGAAGAGATTTCAGACTGTTGATTAGATTCAGGAAAATATGATGGGGCAGCTGATGGCAACTGGGAGAACTGTGTGAGGTCCCAAGGTGCCAGTTTTGAAGGGGACTGAGGCATCATTGCCTGATGTACAATGTTTCTTATATCTTTTTTTAAAGAGATTTCTTTTCTTTTTTTAATATTTTATTTATTTTTATTTATTTTTTTTTAGAGAGGGAAGGGAGGGAGAAAGAGAGAGAGAGAAAAACATCAATGTACGGTTGCTGAGGGCCATGGCCTGCAACCAGGTATGTGGCCTGACTGGGAATCGAACCTGCAACAGTTTGGTTCGCAGCCCGAGCTCAATCTACTGAGCTATGCCAGCCAGGGCTATTTCTTGTATTTTGTATCTCTAAATAAATGTCTCTATTTTTCACATTACATGGCTGGATACCTTCTGGACAGTCCTCATATACTATGTTTTCTCCTATACATACATACATACTTAGAATAAAATTTAATTTATAAATTAGGTATAGTAAGAGACTAACAATAATAACTAATAACACAATAGAATAATTATAACAATGTACTGTAATAAAAGTTATGTGAATGTGGTCTCTCTCAAAATATCTTATTGCACTGTACTCTTGTGATATCATACGATACAGCACCCACATATGAGACGAAGTGAAGTGAATGACGAAGGCATTGTGACAGAATGTTAGGATACTGCTGACCTTCTGACAATATGGCCATTGAGTGACTAATGGCCAAATCCAGCATGGCTATGCTGGACAATGGGACGATTCATGTCCCAGGCAGAAACGAACATGACGACTCCAGGTTTTATCACATTACTCAGAATGGCACGTAATTTAAAACTTATGAATTGTTTTTTTCTGAAATTTTCTATTTAATATTTTCAGACCATGGGTGACTAAGGATTATTAAAACCATGGAAAGCAAAACCACGGATATGGAGGAACTATAGTAACTCCCTGTCTGTAGCTCTTCAGCCCTGCAGGCCACAAACTACTAAAGTCTCAGGGTTGAAGCCAGTCTCACTGTGGTCAGTCTCTGCCTCATATGTGAGAAATCACACAGTTGTCTTCAACGATAATACTTTGGTGCAAGGTAATGAAACCTAAAATTAACAGTCTTTGATTTACAATCTGGTCACATTCCAAAGTTTTCTCAGCAGGGATCAGTCTGCAAGGGGGCGGTTTTAGCAGAAACAAGGTCTTTTAGAGGCAAGCATTTGGGTTTCAAAGTTTGTTGACAGAGGAGGAAAAACCAGATTCGTCATTCAGAGAAATAGTAGAACCAATGTGTTTGCTAAGTATGTATTAGACACACACAGAGTCTGAGTCACAAACCTTTCCCCCCAGGCACACCTGAATTTCTATATGCAGAATTTTAAAGCTCAAAGAAAGTTTCTTACTGATGTTCATCACAACAGGTGAGTATTGTGAGCTGAATTGTATCTCCCCCTTCCCAAATTCCCATGATAAAATCCTAACCCCAAGCTGGTCAGAATGAGACTATATTTGGAGACGGAACCTTTAAAGTCATGATTAAGTTCAGAGGAAGCCAGTAGGGTGGGTCCTAATCCAATCTGACTGCTGCCCTCATACAGGAGAGAAAATGTGGACACAAAGGGACAACAGGGATGGGCTGACTTACACAGAGGAAGACCAGGTAAGAGGCAGCAAGAGGGTGGCCACCTGCGAGTCAAGCAGAGAGACCCTCAGTAGCAACCAAACCTGCTGACACCTTGATCTTGGACTTCAGCCTCCAGAAATTTGAGAAAATAAATTTCTGTTGTTTAAGCCACTCAGTCTGTGGTATGTTGTTATGGCAGCCTTAAAAAATAATATAGGGAGATTACTAATATTTAATGCCTTGGGGGTGGAGATCACGCTCCAAATGTGAGGAATTAGCTGATGAATTAAAAATCTGACCCTTTAATCTAAAAATTGATTTTCTCATCCCTTGCGCCCAACTTAAATACCAACCATCTCCTCCTCACTGAGGATAATCGATATGGGAGAATGTAGGAGAAAAGATCCGAAGGCAGCAGTGATGCCACACTCAATTTCCACACTATTTATCATTTTGAGTGTGGAACTCAATATGACTTTTTAAATGTACTACATATTTGACATATTATTAAATGCAAGCATTTGTAAGACAAAAATTCATAAAGGATATAGAAATTCTGATTCAACTAATGTTTAGCAGCTGTCCATGTATCAGACTGTTGCAGGTGCTGGACTTATGTGAACTCATTTAACCCTCACGACAGCTCTTTGAGACCGGTGTCATTGTTTTCCTCAGTTTACAGATGCAATGCCTGGAGTACAGAGGGACAAAGAGACTTGTAAAATGCAAGCAACAATGTACTTGCCTCAGAGAGTGATTACAATTATACATAAAATAGTCAAACAGATTCTAATACTTGGTAATATTCAAAAAAGTAGTTTTTACTCTTATCACAGTGCCTCCCTAATCAGATAAGGGTTAACTTGGGGGTAAATGGATACCTTAATGCCATTCATTTGTTCCACAATCATTTATTTGGCAATTGCTATACATCAGGCACGTGCTAAACCCTGGAGGGTAATGACAAGCACATGCCTGGAGGGTAATGACAAGCACACGCTGTCTGCAAGGCATCTTAGAAGAAAGGCAGGAAGGAGAAATCAATGTC